TCCGAAAGAAAAATGAACCCAGACCGACGGAGAAAATAGTGGGGCCCAAACATCTGCTAGGCGGGACAAGTAAATTCGGGGCCCTCAGAATTGTTTTTCTCCACTTTTTTTTTCCCTCATCCTCTAAGTCTCTTATTTTGTCTCTCTTCATCCATAGACTCCCGGGGCGGTCTCACCTTCTGGGTGAACAGACGATTCGCATATTCGGTATTCGGTGTCTCAGTCTTCCTCATCGGCTAAAAGGTGGGTCTGGTGTGAGAGAGAAAAGGGCCCCGTGAGGGTCGATCGAGTTCCAAGTGTATGAGAACGGAAAGGGCCCCCTGGAATATCGTGGCAGCTGCTCTCTCGGAGGCCAACAAAGGGCGGCCTCAACCGCAAACTCCAACGTCTACGGGTCCAGGTCGAAATATTTTTTTTTTTTTCGTATTCCAATTCCAACATTTCCCATGAAATATTCACAACTGAGCTGTGTGGAGAACCAGACACGTAACGAGGCACAATGCACACTGATAACGAACTTATCAAAGAGCCTCGCCATCGTATTACACAAACAAACGAGGACACGTTTTATAGAGAGAAAAGGCCACTTTTTCCCCCGGCCAAACCATTAAAACGCAGCTCTTTATACTCACGAGAAAAATGGAGAAAAAAATATATACGGAGACACGTGAAGACAAAAATTGCCAGGAGCCACCGGAAATTTTTAATCTTGCGGTTGTCCCTGCGGTGGAAGTGGTCAAAAAAAAATATTGAACCCTCATTTTGAAATTCGGTTTTTCAACGAGTTCAAAGAATTTTTCAAAGTCTGCCCTTGAAATTTGGCAAAGTCTTGAATTGAAATTAGTCGACAATCCTAACATGGGATTTTTTAAAATTATGTTTCGAATCCCAAAAGTCTCGTATTAAAACGTCCGGAGTAAATTCAACTGTTGAAATTATTTTTAAATTTACTGAAGACTCTCTCAAGCTCATTAAAGTCTCAATTCCCGATTTCAAGATTTAATTATCGCTTTCTCTTCACCACAAACTCCAAAAACAGCGTGGCAAATGAAACTTCATGAAATTAAAGTCCAAAAGTCTTGAGTCAAGTTCTAAAAGTCACAACTTGATATCAGAGATCGCGAAATGAGCGACATAAAAATACCAAAGAGAGTTGCCACAGGGAATAATGTATTGCGGTTATTCCTGCGGTAGAAATGGTCAAGAAAAAAATGCATCCAACCCACGTTAAAAGTTCACCTTTTGATCGGTATTATCGCTTGCGTCCTGGTTATATTCCGTGAGAACATGAAGAAACTCCAGTAACAAAGAAATTCGAAATTCTAAGGAAAAACATGAATCGTATCTCTCGCAATACGCCAAAGGGATTCAGCCCAACTTGTGCATATGTCCCTCTTATTTCTTTTTATTCTCATCCGTTATTTTATTCAACTTCCCGCGCTCACATCGCGTCTCAAACTGCTCGAATGGTGGGGACACATCCCGTCGCCATGTGGCGTCCAATGAATTTTCAGAACAACGAGGCACCAAGATTTTTGCTTCATTCAGTCTCAATACTTGAATCGGCCACGAGAAGATCCTCCCAAGTCCTCTGGCCTCTCTTGAGAATAGAAACTGGTAGAAACTGAAAACACCAGTGGGAATGACCACTCTCGCCCGTAGAACCACTCATTACTACTTCCGGCCAATATCGTTGGGGACATGTGTATCGTTCAGAGACAGAGGAAAAAGCTAGTGCCATCCACCACACCAGAATGCTCCAACTAGGCACATCCTCATAATAGAACAGCGTATGGAGTTCATTAGATAATCATAACAAAAAAATTTACTGTATTTTGAGAGTTTGAGTCTTGATTTGAGACTTGATTTGAGACTTTGAAATATGAAGGTCAGCTTTGGGTGGATCGAACCAATGACTTTTGAGACTTTTGAAAATTCTCATTCGAGGCACAAAAAAATCGAGCCTAAAATTTTCAAATACTTCACGTATATGTTAATAATTTGAAATTCAGTCTTGCCAAAGTCTTGACTGGAAATTCGGGAGTATCTGTATTTGAGTCTTGGGAGAGTGAAATTATTATTACGAGTCCTTGAATAAAGTAGAAATGGATTCTCGAACGAATCCACAAGACTTATCTCTCTCCGGTGTTAGTCGTGTCTACGGGCATAATTAACTCAACACGTGACCACGGACTCCGCCATTTTCCAAATCGCTAACTAATGTTAAAAGTGTACAGAAGGTTAGCCTAGACACCCGACACCGGTTTCGCGTCCACGTGGCCGTGACGCGGGGAAACGAGGACGTATGTCCGTCTCAAACTCCACAACCTCGGCCAATGAACTCGCCAAAACGAATTGTCTATTTGAGTATGTAATCTATTCCTCACCAGATACCATTTTTTAAAATTTCACAAAAACTCAAAAAAAAGGGATTGATGCGTGCGCATATCACCCATCGTTACGACTTTTTACGATTTTTTTTTTGACTTTCCAAGAGCTATGGACATCATCGGTGAGATAGATTATCATAATATGCAATTGGCAAGTGGCAATTCAGTGGTTAATTTCGAAAATTCCTAGCCCCTTGGGAAAATGGGTAAACCTGTGGAGATGATTCACACAGGGAATATCAAACTTGTTCTCAACAATGATATCGAGTAAGAATGGGCGGTTCAACCCTCGGTGTCCTGGAGGTTTTTATGAAGAATCGGCTTGCGAATTTCTATTGAGAAACAACCGAGGGGAATTACATCTGGGAAAGTTTGAGAGCACATGGGGACACGGTCCTTGAACGAGTTCGAGGTCGGGTTTTGTGTGTTGGTATGTTTATTACTCTCTGTACCTACGTGAAATTTTGTACCCGTCGCCTTTGGCAATTCGACGACAGATTCAATTGATTTTTTTTTTCCCTCTCCAATTCGCTCATTCTTTTCTACTTCATACTATTTATAATCTCGACATTTTAAATTGTGGATTAGTACTTGCGACCCCATTTATTGTCACAACGGCAAAATACGTATCTCGTTATGACTGCTTTATTCATCTGTTAGTGTTTGTTTTACCAGCATGCACCTCGAAATTGTTTTATTCGGTTATTCAAGAGTTTTTAATGTGTATGGAGTGAATGCCCATACAATGATAAATATGGCGACAATAAATTTAAAAAAAATAATAAAAACCCCCAAAAAAGTGGAAAATTTTATAACTCTACAACTTAATTTTGTTCGCCCAATAATCCAATAAAAATATCAGGCAATCTCGGAGGTTGACTGAGAGGATTTCTCAACTCGTCAATTCCCCGTGAAATCGAAGGAGGCAAAAATCGCAGGTTCGAGAGATTTTCGATGGTTTCCCACTCAAGGTTAGATCACTTCTCTTTCCTTTCTCGCACAAGGCCGTCAAACGAAAAAAAAAAAAAAATCGTGGGAGGCGGCGACCTCCATAAACCATTAAAAGAAAATTGCCACCTTTTCCCCGATCATCAAAAATTTACCACCAAAAATTACAAACGACCCCTGTACCAACTTTTTCCCCCAAGTACTGGATCCGCACCCTGACCTACGGTAATGACTCTCTCTCTCTTTCTCTCACATACACGATATCTCTTTTTTTTTTTCAACACGACGAATTTATAACTTCTCGTTTCGAATTTTGCCTCACCGACCTCGTAGGGTAAAAAAACCTTGAGTTAACAGTGTATTTCGTGCGTTTGAATCGAGATCGTGAGAAACGATTGGACACGAGCTGTGAGAACCCCTGGCTTCACCCTGAAGAAATGAAGAAAGAATATTTACAGCACCGCAATGTTATTTATCTACTGCCATTGGTACATTTCTTAGGTGCTTTCCCATTCCTTCAAACACGTGTTGTCGTATTGTCCTGGGGACACCGCAATTTTTCCCGAGATAACTAGAACTATTTCTCCGGAAACGGCTTATCGACCACCGGAATTCACCTATTTCTTTCTCTTTCCTCATGGCTTTTCTCTCTCGATCGATCAAACCATTTTCAATCTTATTTCCACACTTTTTACGGAAATCAGCGATTTTTTTTTCATTTGCTGACGATGGGGCGCCGATTTTTCCAACATCAAGGGAAATATTGGAAATTTCGGGGATTTTTAATTAATCTTATTCTTTATATTTCAATCGACTATTAAACTACTGGAAAATCCAAGAATGGAAATAAAAAAGAGGCGTTAGTGGAATGCAAATTTTCAACTGAAATAGAACAAATTCTGTAGTAAAATGATGAAAGGAGGCAAGTTGACGTAGGTCTTCGGTTTTTCGGGAATATCTCCGAACTCAAGGGAGATAACAAAATATTAATCAAAACCTTATTTGTACAGAAATCCGAGGACTATAAAAAAGATTATTACCTCCATTTCACTACTTCCGTCCATTTCGGAGATATCTCGTAAAAACAGAAATTCTTCATGGCTAATTCAATTAATCTCCTTTTCCACAACTGAATTCTTCTCAGTAAAAAAATTAATTTCTCTAGAATTCCAGGAATTGAATAATTTGCAAATTTCCATAAGAAACATAATCGCATTATTATTTTTTTGTTCATGAGTTAGTGGGTTATTAAATAACGGGAAAACGGCAATTTGGCCAGAACTAACAAAACATGAAAAATTAGGAATCGCGATCTTCCTCATAAAATTTCGACCCTCTTAACAGAATAAAATATCTTCTCCTTCAGATGACTCATTCCCAGGTTTTGATACTATCCTGAACACTGACATTATTATCGACCAACTGACCTTGAATGAACGTCCCTTACAATCATAAACATCTGCATCTTAATATTCAAATAATTTAACGTGAGAAAATGTGAGAAAATGTGAGAAAATGTGAGAAACAATGAAGGGCCTCTGAAGGTCATATATAGTGCAATTATGAGAGATGCCTTGGAGACGATATTTTGTTCTGTGGATTCGTGGGTGAAAGATATATTTGTTTGGATGAAGAGATTGAATATTGATAATCTGAACTCACCCTGTCGTCCAACGATTTCGGCCACGTGTTCGCTGCTGGGTACAGGAACGCACTCGGTCATGTTCTGACTCTTCTTGGATCTAGCCTCCTCGAAGACACTGGTTGGTGTTGACTGTAGTGGATCACTTGGATCTGAATTAGTGCCATTACCATTACCAGCACCACCAGCTCCACCACATCCCTGTGTACCCTCGATACTCAACATTGAAAGCTCAAAAGCAAGCTGAAGGGCACGCTGCTCCTCGAGAGATCCAGCCCCAGCATTGCAAACACTGCGATCCATGTCGCTAAATAAACTGGTGGGCATCTTCTATTTCTCTATTCTCAACTCCCCAACTCCAAAATAAATTCTTATCAATGAGTCACTCGTCCCTGTCGTACTGACGAATAAATTATTGTTAATCACTTCTCAATTTGACACGTTTATTTCAGTCGTTTTCAATTTTTTTTCTCTCTTTGTTATTAGTCGTCACTTGAATTTCAGAAAATTGGAGTATTATTCGTGTACTGGGGTGAGATAAATGTACAAAAATTACGTGAAATTGGCTTCTCGTACAAAAATAAATTATAAACACCCTGAATATATATCAACTCTCGTACTGTTTTGATTTTTCGAATTTAACCTTTGGTTGATTTACTTTATCCCTCACTCACTTTTTCAAAATATACCAGACAATACAGAAGTAGGAGGCGGGGAATTTACGAAGGTCGTTTGAGTTCGTTATTCTGTCGTTCGATTATTACCGAGGGAATAAATGTCACCAAGTCGTACCACCAAATATCAAGTATGAAACGTGATAATAATCGTCAATAATCGGTGATTATCTGTTTCACTGCCCCTGCGACTGGATAATTGATTTAATGAAAAAAAAAAGCCAGTGCTTTTTTTTTTCGTCTCGTGGGGTGTGCAAAAAATTCCTTAATATCTGTCTGTATTCGATTGATTAAATTATTAAAACTTTTTTATGGGTTGCGCGATTTTTTAAAAACAGATGTGTTCGTATTTTTTAGTAATTTGTCTCACTTTTTTAAGTAAAACAGACAAGGGGACGCGTGCGACTCTCTCACGCTCGAGTGCCACTGCGACTGACTCTGCGACGTACTGCGACTGCGGCATTAACCACCCGGCACTGCCGCCATGTGCCCAACGCCGGCACCCGCCATCTCCCATTGGCCCATCGCCTCCCTCTCCCCATCGTCACGTGGTACACAGGGTACAACTATGTACAAGCACTCGTCGCACTCCCCGCACTCCTCGCACTCCTCACACTCCTCGCACTCTTACTCTTCACTACACATACACCAGTCCCACTGGAGAAACCACACACAGCGCCACCCCTCTTCACTGCCTTAACCCCAATCACCCTCATCAACTGAGTCAATCAAACTTTCCTTTTTTTATTTTTTATTCAAATTTTAACAGTTTTTTGTTTTCAGAAGGCGAGGAGATGTAGCAGTGAGAGAAACTCGAGGGTCTATTAAATTGTATTTTACGACGGGATGGAATTTGTTGGATTTATTGGATATTTTGTTGACTCTTTGAATTTTTCGTTTGCCTAGAAAAATTAACAGAGTTGAGGAAAGTCGCGAAAATTTGAGGGTTTTTTACAGCATGTTATATCGGTGTTCTGATTTTTTTTTATCGACTGCTCGTGGAATTGATGATTTTTCCAACGATGTATTACATCTAAAGGAATTAATTATATTATTATTGTTAGGGTATATTGCATTTATTGGGTTGCTCTACTATTAAATTATTTAAATATTCGTCACTGGTTTTTGTAAGATGCGATGCAGTTTATCGTTGGCCCGTGACAATAACCGAATGACTGATTCCAATTGATGTGATGAGTTTTCGGTAATATCGAAGGCCTGGAGGGGCCCAGAGATCGTGAACACCTGTCTGCTCTCATTGGGCAGTTTTATTGCGATGAAAATGAGAGTCGGTAATTGCAGGGAAATTGGCCAGAGTTTGATGCAAGCGGGCTGCATGTGGATAAATTTTTATTGCATACGAGTCCGAGGCTCGAGCGGCTGGCCGACCGATTGACTGAAACTACTCGGTTCGACAAGTGTTAAAAAACGATTCTCCGTTCAGTGGCAATTTGCTGCTGAGAAAATTAGGGAATGTGGTATGAACAATCGTAATCGTAAAAATCATGAGTAATTGTTGTTTCGGAGGGCAATGGGGAGACACTCGCTCCTCGAATGAGTGAAGGCAAAAAATTTCCATGAAAAAAAAGTGGCTCTGGTTCAGCTGAAAAATCAGTCAAGTCGAAAAATCGAATCTCATTTGTACATCATTAAAGTATATCCCGAAAATTTCGAGGTGTAATTGACTCGAGTGGATTTTACGACCTGGTTCAATTCAATTCTTCAACTTGATTCAAATCCCCTGCAATAAATCTGGAGAAATGATTTGAATCAAGTCATAAAATCAACTGGATATTTTATTTAACTGTTGACTTGCATTATGCATGAAAATCACCGAGGATGATATACAACAGCAAAAGCTGGGCTGTCCCATTTACGAAATCTCGTCTATTTGCCATGGGATGGGTACGGCATTTGGCCTGCGGTGCTCCTCCTCGTTGTACCCAGGTATAAAAGGATTTTTAGCCGGTATTGGCCATCCGTCCTGGAATATTCCCGCCAGCAGTAGTTTTCGAAGCGGCCAATTTCCTTTTCGAATTCGTCGGAGTGAGTAACAAAGAGAGAGAATGCCTCCACCATCGGTTTGTGCTCACTGAATTTTTCGAAGCAACCGCCACTCTCAAGGCTGCCCAACATTATACCTTCTGCCACCTGTCCCCCACCCCGTCCTACCAACATGTTATAAACCTTCGAGATGCCGTTAAATAAAAAATATCTCGTAATTTTGGTGGAAATAAAAATTGACGGTGAATAAAAAAATCACCAGAGAGACACCCGGGGTAATTTATGGTTGGGAGGGGGGAGTCATAATGCGTGGTTCAGAGAATTGGCAATGAGAATGCAAGTGAAGTAATCACCAGTGGAAACATCAACCGGCATCCGCCAAAACATTGTTTCATTTTTTTCACTTCCTTCTGACGAGATTCAGAAATTCTTTTATTTTGTTTTTTCATTCAATTTTTAATTATTGGTGTAGATGTGTAACTGCTCCAGGAATTATTGAATCAGTCATTCATCATTTTTTTATTATTGTTATTTAATAAATATGATAAAAATGATAAAATGTATTTTTATAATAATTTCCATATTTATTCATTTGAATATCTGATTATTTATCGAAATATGAAGTTTTTCGAGTGATTTTAAAATAAAGGCGACAATTTTTAGCGATTACACCTGTCGATTTTTAGCGCATGCAACCGGTTGTAATGATTGTCTTGGGCTTTAGCGAAACTTACTGGGGACAAGGCGATCTTGGTGCGAGCTCAAAAGGAAATGACAGTATCGATACTTGAGGTGCGAGAGCGAGAGGTGCAATATATTTGTGGAGAAAATTGCGCAAGGTCGATTCGTTTGGAGGATGGCGCCTTATCCTGACGTGGGGATCCTTCAATAGACCGGAAATGACGAAACGGAAACCACCAAGGCTGGCATATCGATCCAGTTTCATACTTTATAAAAAAAATTATTCCACGTTTAATTTCAAAAATAGAGCGGAGAAAGCGGTATTACGTCATACGGCATTTATTGCCTGAGAGAAGATAAAAAAAAAATTAATCTCCTATTTCTAATTAATTGAATTAAAAATTATGATAACAACTAAAAATTATATCGTGAGAAGAAAGTCAATTGTTCACTAGGAGATTTCACCTTTTGAATATTTTCTTCGTAATTTTTTAACTCTCCACCTACTTTTTACTCGACGCATCCGTTATTTTTATTGATTGTGCAACTTTCACGCAATTTTTATTGAATTTTTTTGCCGCCGTGAAGACCAGTAGCAGATGCATTTTGACAGGTACACGAGAAAAAGTCCCTCCAGCTGCTCCAAGTCGATTAGAATCGGTAAACCTTGGGTTGGGCCCTCCCAGTGGCTTTTTTTTTCGAATCCATCGATTTTGGGCCTCTTTGGCATTGTCTCGGTGACGTGCAACCTCAGACTTCACACATATGGCGCGAGAATTCCGGAAATTCGGTCAAATTATACAGATGGCACGATTTCACTCACTATTTTTTTTTTCATTTCGGCTTGTGCGGGGAGGGGATTGTCTCGGGGAGGTCTCAGCTGGTTTTCGGAGGGTTGGGGGAATCGATGCGAAAAAGGGGGCTTAAAAGGGGGATCAAATGGGGCCTTTAAAGCCTCAGAACACTCTTCAAAATTTTCATACCCAATATCCGATACCCAAAAAAAAAGTTTTCATCTTTCTTCCAATTTCATCCCGAGTTGCTACTTGATATGAGTCGGTTCAAGTAGATCTTGTCGACTTGATTCAAGTATCGAAATAAAACTTAAAGTAAACGTCCATTTGATTTTTCGGCTGTATTGACCCACGAGTCGATACAGTGCAGGAATAAAAAATTATAGAGAGTGATTAGGGGTGAGGGGTTAATATTCACGGTTGACAATGAGGGTGAACCCGGTGGTTTGTGAACATCAAGGGGGGGAAACAGCTGTGGTTCGAATGCACTGGCGAGACAGCAAAACACGAGACAGTGAAAAAGAGGAAAAAGAAGAGAGGTGTAGTAGGTGGAGGAGACAGAGGGAAAAAAGAATATCTGGTACCACCTGGTGTACCTGGATTAGGTTTACCCGGAGGGTCCCTGTGGATTTGCTCGGGTCTTTTGTACCTCCAAAAGCACCACCCCACATGATGCGAAAGCCGAGACGCTTCATCCACTGCTAAACAAGAATAATATTATAATATTATTTATAATATATGAATAATATATAAATAATAAACCATTTTTACATAAACATTCATAAAACTTTAATTAATGTCTGTCAGACATTTCGAACTAGTCATTGATACTAGGGAAATGGAAATTAAACAATTCGTATGGATTATCATTTTTGCAGTATATAAATAAATAAATTGGGAATGGGGGATTTAATAGGGCGTACGATTAGTTCGTCCTTTTTTTCCTGATATCTTTTTTTCTCGTTTTATTTCTATTCAATTGTCAAATAGAAATAGGAAAAAACGTGTAGCAGCCGCTTCCGGTCACTAAATAACGTTCGACTCTTTTTGTTAGCAAATAAAGGAAAATTTATGGGGTGCAAAGTAAGCAGACGATGAAGTCAAAGAATTGGTCTATTTAGTTGTGTATACCTGGGAATTCTAGGGAAATGGACATGATTTGAGTTTATTTATCTCCATATACAAAATCACAACGCCTACTAAAATCTCATTCAAGTCATTTAAAATGAAATAAATTCCCATACTTTTCAATATAACAAACGAATTAAATTGACAATTTAATTACTGACATTTCCCAATATAAATATTGAATATTCACCGTGAAAACTTAATTCTTTTAAATGCATCACGAAAATTTAATATTATTGAGACAAAGGTATCAAAAATCAAGTCCGAAAATGTCGGAAATTTAATGAAAAAATTCGTGAAAAACATCCCCAAAACGTCGCCATCATATCGAAAAAACATCCCCAGAACGTCGCCATTATGTCGAACAACCATCCCTAAAAGATCGAACAATATCTCCCCTTCGTTATAGTAACAAATTCGTGAAATCCATCTTTTGGAAGTTCACTCTGCCAGAGAATGTGCATGCCTTACGAAAAGAAACTGCGTTTGTCCAACTTCTACTATCTATTGGAGATGAAACATGAATACGAATGACTGCGAGATATATCTAGCAGATGAATGTATAGCTAGATGGAGATGTCACAGAGGATTTATATGAGGAGGTGATTAATGAGTAACTATCGAAATATTAATTATCATTGTCATAGAACATTCGCAACTGGATTTGAAACCTGGCACTTGCCAACTACTTGAGTGGAGGGTTCGAGAAAGAGCTCGAGTTTTCTCGAACAAATGAGAAAATTGTCTTCCAGCGCTATCCTAGGCCATTTTACAAACTAAATCCGTGAAGCTGTCCTCCGCCGATAAGCCAGAGAGCAATTATTCTCTCCGTGGCCTTAAGTATATAAACGAGCAATTGTTATGAGTGCCGGCTGCACTTCACTTCAATCCGTATTATTGACAACAATCACTGCATTGTTTTAGATAAAATATTCAATGAATAATTGTCATCAGTAAAAGAAAGACAACAAAAAACAATAATAAAAATGGCTGTGCAACCTAAAGTTTACTGGTCCCAGACAAAAAATGACGTTTTCGTGAAAATTGATGTCGATGATCCCGAGGTGAGTTGATTATTATCTGCTTTATTCATAAAAATTAATTTTTATTCCGCTGATTCTACAGGGAACTGAAATTACTCTGGATGATGATGGAATGAAATTCTCAGCCTCTAAGAGATTCAATGGAAATGTCGTCCAGTACGAATTTTCTATTCAATTCTACGGTTCGACGAATAGAGAAGTAATTATACAATAATTATGATAAAAAGTTGACTCTGGACTTCATCTCGAACTCGAACACTCGATTAATAATGAAATGAAATAATTTCATAAAATCCTTGTATCAACCTCGCTTGAACTGGTTTCTTTATACCTGAATTATGGATTTTTTCAAGTACTGAATTGAATTAAAATTGATTAAATATTGAATAAAGTGAATTAGGGGATGATGGAGTAACGACACCTACTAAAAATCGTTCTTTTCTGAATTCGACATTTTTCTATGTTTACACAAACATAAATAGGTAAATTAAGTATTCCACATTTTTAAGGTGAATTCGTTTACAGGAAAATATGTATGAATTGATAAACCATCAAATGCAATTTGTCCTGAAGAAGGAAATCGATGACGATTGGCCGCGTTTAACAGTGAAGAATGACCCCGAGTTTGTAATTTTGGATCCAGTGAAATTCCAGCACAAGAGGATAACGAAGAAATCGAGAGACAAGAGAGATGTCTCGATGGGATTCAACAAGGGCTTCACGTCAGCAAAGGAACAGATTCACAAGGAAGTCCTGGAGAAGAGAGATGTCCATGAGGACTATCCCCACATGTATGACGTACTTCATAAGGAAGAGCTGGGGTACCGAAGAGAAGATTACAGAAAGGTGTACCTTGTGTTGTACAATTTGTGTCAATTCGTGGGATTCATGTACATTCTCACTGTCATGAGCATACGTTACTCGAGAGAAGGTCCTGATTCAATGGCAGAGACGTACAGCAGTGTCGGTGGAGCGATGAGATTTCTCCAGTTACTACAATTTCTTGAAGTAATGCATCCAATGTTTGGATACACCAAGGGCAATCCTCTCATAGCATTTGTCCAGGTTGGAGGTCGTGCTTTCATCCTCTTCCTGATGATCGAGGCTGAGTCACGAATGCAGACCAAACCAGTTGTATTCTACCTATTTTTCGTGTGGAGTTTGGTCGAGGTTTTTCGATATCCTTATTACATCACACAAGTCCTGAACGTGGAAAGTGGATTGCTCACTTGGTTCCGGTAATATTTGTGATGTTTTGAGAAAATTATTATTGTGTTCAGTAGATTTTTAAATTGTAATTTATTCCATATTTCGATTATTCCTTTTAGGTACACCATATGGATACCCTTGTACCCTTTAGGATTTGTCTGTGAGGGAATTATTGTCCTCAGGAATATTCCATACTTCGAGGAGACTGGGAGGTTTACTGTTTCATTGCCAAACGCGTGGAATTTTGCTTTTCATTTTCCTACTTTGTTGAGGATTTATTTATTGGTACTCTGTGGTCCCAGTATTTACACCATGATGTCTCACATGCACCAAACGAGAATTAAGAAACTCGGGGGAGCCAGAGGGCGGCAATTATTGAGTGGTAAATTCGATTAAATTACAATTCCTCTACATTTCACTACACGGTCATAAAACGAGCCGTAAAATTTACAATTTTTATTAATTCCCCATTTACCTCCATACCTGAACAATCGACATAAAAATATTTAAGGACTTTTTTGTAGTGAAGTACATATCTGACAGAAACATCTTGATTGTTCAAAATTTTTAACCAGTTCTCTTATTATTTGTGTTTCTAATAAACCCTAATTATTTCAACACTTTGTCTTCATTATTCCACATCGATAAAAGGATCTCATGGCTTTAAAGAATATATTTAATGTCGCACAAATGATAGATTAAATATTTGAAATCACTGATTGTAAGAAATGTAAATACTTGTTGAAGGTAATGGAGTACAATTGATAGCGCAACAAAGTTTATAAATGGATAAGACATGTATGGATTGATCAATAAACGGTAAAAAAAACTGCTCTCCCTGTAATAAAAACTAGTCATTATCTATCTACAATGAAAAAAAAGCTAGTGTAATTGCTTCAATGTAATATTCCACAGGCATGTCAGTAAAAACACTCACAGCGCATGTGCCAGGGTTCAAAAGAGTCAAGCAAAGTAGAGGCTCAGTTCTAGGGGTTTGAGTTACCCCACCGACATTGGAGTCCCTTACTCTAAGAGAGGGAGTCAAAAAATTGAAGTGACTCCATGAAATTTTCAAATTTTTCAATTTCAGTAAATACCAATTTCGTAACGCAGAAAATAACATTCATCCCATCGACTGGTCCCTCTGACAGCGGGACTGCTACTGAGGCAGGTACCGAGTCAGCTGACGGGGCAGACACCCCCATTTCGTGTGGCGCCCTCCCTCTCTTGGGGTGCAATACTACGATGCCGCCGGGATCACTCAAACCCCCAGAACTGAGCCTCTACTTTCGTCATCTTCTCTTTGAGTACAATTGCGATTGCTCTTAAAGTTCCCTCACATCGTCCCTGAAGGGTTAATTAGTTAATCATGCTACGCCTGATGAAGAGGATTCACTCGTTGAGGAGCTTCTCCTCAGCTGCTCTTCCAGCTCCAGAAACAAATCCTTCAATAATGTACTGTGGGGTAAGAATTATTTCAAATCTTTACGTTTCAATTTTATATCACGAAGCAAAAAAAAGATAATTGCCGAAATCATTGTTGCAAGAATTTTCGCAGAAGAGGTTAGTTGAAAATGCGACAAAACGGGATTTTTTAAAATATTTGTAAGTCTGGAATAAAAAGGGAAAAGCTCAAGTTTTCCTGAAAATTCAAAGAAACTACAAATCCTTTATATGAAAAATATAGAATCAACGTTAAGAATTCAACCACAAGTTTTCTTAATTTTCCTGATATAATTGACCGGAAAATTCCAAATAAAAACGGAAAAATTGTCTCAAAATATTGAAATATTTATTCCCTCGAAAAATCTGAAATCTTAGATATCCAAATTCCTTTAAAAAATACAAACAATAATGTATTTCTCAAACCATCTGCTTAAGATATGACATTTAAAATTCAAATTTGCGGGACATTTAAAAACCCAATTAGCGTAGCATTTAAAAGTCAAATGTGCGTGACCTCATCGGAATTCATTTACAATCCGATAATCTCTGCACTGTAGATATTTATAAACAATGAGTGGCGGAAATCGGAGTCTGGGAAGACCTTTGAGACGATCAATCCATCGACAGGAGAAGTGATAGCAGAGGTCCAGGAGGGTGAAGCTGCTGATATCGACGTGGCAGTGGGTGCAGCAAGAAAAGCTTTTCGCCTGGGTTCCACGTGGAGGACAATGGATGCCTCCCATCGAGGTGTTCTCCTCAACAAATTGGCCGATCTGATCATTCGAGATCGAACTTACCTGGCGTCCCTGGAAACCCTAGACAACGGCAAGCCATATTCCGTTGCCTATGGATTCGACGTGGCCGCTAGTGCTGGAGTGTTGAGGTACTTCGAGAAAAACAAGGTCTAAATACCCGAAATTCCACGATTGTTCGAAATCGTATATTATCATTATTATTATTGGTATCTTAAAGATATTTCGCTGGATGGGCTGACAAGAACCACGGCAAGGTCATCCCTATGGATGGCGAATTTATGGCGTACACGAGGCACGAGCCCGTTGGCGTTTGCGGGCAGATAATCCCCTGGAATTTTCCCCTTCTGATGATGGCCTGGAAGATTGCTCCAGCCCTCGCCACTGGCAATACAATTGTCCTCAAACCAGCTGAACAGACACCCTTAACCGCTCTATACCTGGCACAGCTGACGAAGGAAGCTGGATTTCCCCCTGGGGTCGTCAACGTCGTTCCCGGATTCGGTCAGGCTGGAGCTGCTATTGTAGCTCACAATGAAGTCGACAAAGTCGCCTTCACTGGCTCAACTGAGGTAGGAAAACTCGTTAAACAAGAAGCTGCCAAGAGCAATCTGAAGAGGACTAGTCTAGAGCTCGGTGGAAAATCACCGAATATTATTTTCAAAGATGCTAATCTCGATTATGCCGTTGAGACTGCACACTTTGGGCTGTTCTTTAATATGGGCCAGTGCTGTTGCGCTGGCTCCAGAACTTTTGTCGAGGATGCAATTTATGATGAGTTCGTGGAGAGAAGTGTCAAACGGGCTGAGAAGCGAACTGTGGGAAATCCTTTCGATCTTGGTGTTGAGCATGGGCCACAGGTGAATTTACTCCCTAGTTTTTTTTTGTATAGAGAAATGGGAATCACAAGAAAAGATCCTCACGAAAATTTCTGATTATACAGGTCGACGAGGACCAAATGAACAAAATCCTGTGCATGATCGAGAGTGGAAAGACACAAGGAGCTAAATTGGAGACTGGAGGCACAAGAATTGGGGATAAGGGATATTTTATAGCTCCAACAGTCTTCGCAGACGTTCAAGACAGCATGACAATCGCTCAAGAGGAGATCTTCGGTCCAGTCCAGCAGATCCTGAAGTTCAGTGACCTTGACGAAGTCATCCATCGAGCAAATAAAACAGATTATGGCCTGGCTGCTGCTGTGTTCACGAAGGATATCGATAAGGCGAATCATATGATTCAGGGACTGAGAGCTGGCACTGTTTGGTATGAAAATTTCGAAAATGGAATTCATCAAGAAACTCTTTCTCTATGCTTAATCTAATTCTGTTATTTCCCAGGGTTAATACATACAATGCACTAGCAAGCCAAGTGCCTTTTGGGGGCTACAAGATGTCTGGACAAGGTCGAGAATGCGGTGAATACGGTCTTGAAGCCTATACAGAAGTCAAAAGTGTCATCATGAAGGTCCACGAGAAGAACAGCTAATCCCCCAACCAAACGATCCCCAATCGCCAAAAAAAAACTGTACAAAGTCAAGTCTAGACACAAAATACTTTATACAAGTGGTGCACAATACGAAATTTTCATACATATTTTTTTAATTTCTAGTTATTACAAAAGGTTGTTCTAGCTACTGGTGCTTGAATCACAATGAACATAAAAATAAAAAATAAATTTCAGCTTGTGGTATTGCATTTCAATGGGAATCTTACGATGGAATAGCAAGTCGGGAATATTCTCCTTTTCCATCTGTGATTTTCCATTGTCCAATGGAATCTTAGCCCCTTGCAAGAATATAGCTGCCACTTGCACACGCACTTTTTTCTACTCAATATTTTCGTCGTTAGCGGAGTCACGAGTTATCACTTGGTTATCAATCAGGAGCTGTGAGGAGGGATTGAGCGTCCATGAGACTCTCAGACATTATCGCAGAGCTGTTCATGATAGGAGTGCTCACAGTATTCCCTGATTTTTTATTGCCAAATGGGTAGAAGCTGTCAATGTTCATCTGCACGAGGTATGTCGTCACTTTGTCGACTGGTGAGGTGCAGCCATCGTTGGTGGTGACTCTCAGTTGATTAATGTCATTTTGCAACAGACGAGAGAACAGTTCCACGTGATTTTTTCCACCGTTGTGAATTTCCAGGGGTGGAATCCATCGAAAGTAACACTGGGACCAGAGTTCAAGGCACGAAATACTGTGTTGAGGCTTTAGGGGATTTTTATCGGGCTCTTTGGAGTACAGTGGATTGTGGAAGAGTAGAATGTCTTGATCTGTGAATTGCTCTCTCCAATCCCAGGCGCTGCGCAGCACCAGAGGACTGTTGGGATCCGTGGCAGCAAAAACTCGATCCTTCTCGCAATTAAAAATGAATGTATCGAAAACAGACACATGTGCAGCATCCCACAGTGTAGTGATGTACGTCTCCGTGAATTCGAACTTGGAGGGGAATTGTTGTGTCAATTGCCAGACGCAGTCGAGATAGACGAGAAAAATTGGTGATTTTTCACTGTTTAATTTCACTATGTGTCCCAGACGATCACAAAAGGGGTGACCTGCTGCCACCCACTCTTTCTGAATGAGGGTTTGGAATCCAGATATCGTTCGAAAATATGGGTCTGATATTAATTGAACTAAACTGGATATGACACAGCATAAGTCTCTGCCAGATCCCTCTTGTAATATCACTGATGTCCCCGAATTCAGGTGGTCGCTGGCTTCTACTGACTTTTGCAGACAATAGGAAATACATTTCAACCACTTCGAGTTTTCGAGTAACGAGTAGAAATTATTATCCTGCGTCCAGAACTGTCGAATATTCTCTGGTGAACACAGTCCGACTAATTTAGTAAAACTACTGGCAATAGATTTAACCGTTATGTCCTTATTCAACTCCAGTACAGCCATCGCTAATTTCTGGGGATGACTCTTGCGGATGTTCTCCAGCATTATATTCTCCTGGGTCCTCTCGGTGATGGTTGGCATCAATTCAGACATTTTTACAAGGGCAGCTCCACGACTGTTGGACCACGACCAGACCGGCGGACGACCGTCTTGAAAGTGGGCGGCAGCTACAGTTAATTGACTATCTGTTACTGATACTGGAACGATTATGTACTGAGGCAAACTCGGTGACATCTGGAAAGCGACATTAGCAGAAGACAATCTCCAACTTCTTCTCAAGAGGTCATTTCCCTGAGCAGTGCGATCAAACTCGACCCTCCAGTCAGTCAAATCCCTGAAGAACTTGACGTTCTTATCAATACTGCTGTAATACACCTCAGTAAAATCATAAGCAAAGAGCAATTGGTGTCTGCTGGGGAATGCATGATGGAGGAGTGTTGCAAGGAGACTCTTGCCATGACCCACTGGTGAGAATTTAAAGGAGAACGACCACGTACGAAAATTCTTACAGACAATAAAAATTCCTTTGATCTTAGATGGTATTGTACTCCCAGGCACCAATTTTCTCTTCTTATCACCAGTGATCAGATAGATCTCATCAATATTCGATAAACAGGAGTCTGTGTAACCGTAGAGATGATTCTGTTGGCGATTGATCTCCTCCCCATTGGGATCATCACTGGTGATGAAAGTTAACTTGAAATTTGTGACAGAGAGGGTCCCAGATATTCCCTGCTTTAGGTCCCCCACTGGGGAGAACATCAGGACATTTTGGGCCTCAGCAATCAACACTTCACCCGGAAGAAGTTTAATTTTATTATCACCCAAGGAATCCCTCCTCATCTGAATGTTCTGCACATCAAGAATTTTTTTTTAATTAGCATTAATTACTACCTTATTCAGGTGTGCGTCAAATTCCCTTATGAAATTCAATTGATGCGATTCAATTTTAAATATAATTTCCAGCGTTTTGCTCTGAGACAAAAATTTCAAAGAAATTACAAAATTTCCCATGAACACGGAAAAATGAGACTTTCCGTAAATGACTAAACCTCGCGTTTTAATGACCGAATGACAAGTGATTTTCTGTTATTTACCTGCATCTCGTGCTCCTCGAATCCCACATAGCTGATAAAATTGTTGCAGCTTCGATTTTCCATGGCTAATGAATTATTAACCTAATTACTCCATAGTGGGAGGAAATGTCCACTGATTTTCGGAATTTTCTCACGAACAATTGTGTTGTGTTTACTCGATACTCCCCCACAGCAAAATCATATGACATGACATCGACATTCCGACAGATTATGCCTGAATCAGGTGTTTTAGTTGCCTGATTGCAGAAAGATGGCACCAAATGTCATCTCCATTCTCGGCTTGGAAATCCAAAATGGTGATAATAAGTCGTCATTCTTCGAATTTACTCGATTGTTTTGCCTTTGATACTTTATTCATTAAGTTCCCCATCTCAGCAAATCTTCCAGCTGTTCATTAGTGCATGAAGCTTCATTAATTCGGTATTTATGCTTGTAATTGTCGTGACACCAGAAAAAAACCTGTAGCTTCCTCAGGCAAAAGTCAAAGATCTCAAATAATATTATAGCATTGTTTTATGTAATATTGGAAAAAATTGAATTTTGGCAGTTTTACGAATGAATCATTGCTAATATTGAATCAATTAATCGTTTACGTGGGTTATTTATGAACTGTCTTTTATATTATACGATTATATGACCAATTATGACAAATTCTGCCTTTAGGGAGAAAAAAAAAATATTCACAATGCCGAGGCGCAAGAATCACCAAAGGAAAGTCGCCATAGGGGAAGACACAAGGATAGCTGTCAACTTGACAGTGAAAAAACTACTGGAAACTCACGATCAGAAAGAGCTGGAGTTTCCCTCGTCATACACAGCAGAAGAAAGAGCTTATATCCATCAATTGGCAGCTCAACTTGGGCTCAAGTCCAAGAGTCGAGGTAAAGGGGCGAATCGGTTCATGACAGTCTACAAACGCGAGGGCTCGACGATCATCCAGTCAGACGCCACCATAAAACTGAACAAAATTTCCAAGCAATCCCTGGTAAATCTCCTGGAGAAATTCCCTCTGAACAATAAAGAGAGACAAGATTTGCTGCCGCCAACTGAGCGAGAACGGACAATGGACAGTGGAATAACGACGAACACTAAAGCGATGGGAAGATTGAACAGTTCAATTGCCCTAGTACCTCAACTGCGTACGAACCAGGCCCTCGTGCAATCGAGGAAGAGCCTTCCAGTGTACACAGCTCGGGATAAAATTCTCGAAGCCCTATCGTCCAATCAAGTACTCATAATCGCTGGTGAGACAGGTTCAGGAAAAACTACTCAAGTACCCCAGTATATTCTGGAGTACTGCCAGCAGAAAAATCAGGCCTGCAGGATAATTTGCACGCAACCCAGAAGACTGTCAGCTGTCTCAGTTGCTGAAAGAGTTGCCTTTGAGCGTGACGAAAAAATTGGCCAGACATTTGGATACCAAATAAGACTGGAGAGTCGAGTTGCCCCCAAGACTCTCCTGACTTACTGTACAAATGGAGTTCTCCTGAGGACGTTGATGGGTGGTGATGCAGCTCTGACAACAATAACTCACATAATCGTTGATGAGGTGCACGAACGTGATCGATTTTGTGATTTTCTTCTGATAGCATTGAAGGAGGCACTCGTAAAGTACAGATCACTGAAGCTAATTCTGATGAGTGCTACAATGGACACAAATATCTTCGTCAAGTATTTCACCCATTGCAGCATTATAAACGTTCCTGGGCGGTGTCACGACGTCGATGTTTACTTCTTGGAGGATGTTCTCAAGATTACGGGATACACAACTGCCAAAATGCTGGAGAAGAGAGAGGAGTTGATCAATAAAAAGGAGCAGAGAAAAGTCCTAGAGTCGTGGACACAGTACACCCCACAGCAGAATAAGGCGCCGGGGCGTGGAAAAGTTACAGTGGCCACGCCAATCCTGGGACAACAGTCTGTACCACAGCCTGAGAGGGTGAAGCTTGAGCCCTGGTTGAGGGAGGAGGTGGACAAGAGCATCTCAGATGCTTGGCTCATCGGTGGTGATGATAATTTTGCTCAACTCCTTCACCTCATTCTCTCTGAAAACATCTCTGTGGATTACCAACACAGCAGCACCCTCGTGACACCCCTGATGGTCGCTGCAGGTAGAGGTTGCATCAACACCACTGAACAATTACTCAATCTTGGAGCTAACATAAATATTCGAAGTAGCAACGAGTGGACAGCCCTCGACTGGGCGAAGAAGATGAATCAGATCGAGTGCGCTGAGCTCATCGAGGCTTATCTCAAGACTTATGACTGTAGAATCGAAGACTCTGGAGTTCAAAATATCGATGCACCACTCTCTGAGGACAAATTCCTTCTGGACATTTACCATAATACTTTCAACGACGACAACGTCAACTACGATCTTGCATTCAATCTGATTCATTATATTCACACAAAACAACCCCCAGGAGCAATTCTAGTATTTCTCCCAGGTTACGATGACATCGTCATGTTGCGAGATAGAATAAACAACGAGGAGAAAATTATGAATCAAAATATGATCTGTGATCTATTTGTCCTTCACTCTAACATGCAGACGTCAGATCAGAAACGAGTGTTTCGTCCAAGTCCCACTGGCTGTCGAAAAATCATTCTCTCCACAAATATTACTGAAACTAGTATCACGATTGATGACGTTGTTTACGTCATTGACTCTGGAAAAGTGAAGGAGAAATCGTTCGATGCACTCTGCGGTGTTTGCACATTGAGATCAAACTGGATATCCCAGAGTTGTGCTAAACAGAGGAAAGGAAGAGCTGGGAGATGTCAGAAAGGTATTTGTTACAGGCTCTTCTCATCTACCAGATACAACAGCCTGCAGGTGTACCCAATACCAGAGATCCTCAGGTTGCCACTACAGGAGCTGTGTCTCTTCACTAAACATCTCGCCCCAGGCAATACCCCAATTGCTGAATACCTTGAAAGAGCCTTGGAGCCTCCCTCCAACGTTGTCACGAGAAATGCTGTACAATTGTTAAAATCCATTGATGCTCTTGATGCTTGGGAGGACCTCACAGAGTTGGGAACACACCTTTTGGATCTGCCAGTTGAGCCCAGACTTGGAAAGATGCTGCTTTATGCTGTTGTTCTCAAGTGTCTCGATCCAATTCTCACGATAGTCTGCAGTCTGGCCTACAAAGATCCATTTTTCCTCCCCTCCCAGCCCTCCCAGAAACGTGCAGCAACGGCTGTGAGGAAGACATTCGCTGGTGGCTCTTATTCAGATCACATGGCAGTTCTCAGGGCCTTTCAATTCTGGCAGCACGCCAGGTCTTCTGGGTGGGAGAAAAAATTCTGCGAAAAGAATTTCATATCCTCAGCTGTCATGGAGATGATCACTGGGATGAGGTCTCAGCTGCTGGGACAGCTCAGGGCCTCTGGATTTGTGAGAGCAAGGGGTCCTGGTGATATCAGGGATCTCAATTGGAATTCTGAGAATTGGGCTGTTGTCAAGGCTGCTCTAACTGCTGGCTTATATCCCAATCTCATTAGGGTGGACAGGGAGCATGGACAGCTGAGAACCCAGAAGGAGAGTAAGGTCTGCTTTCATCCGTCATCGACACTCAAGGAGTTCTCTAAATCAACTAGAACCACTTCAGCTCAATCACATTCTGCTACTGTTAATACTCTACCCTCTGACTGGCTTATTTACGAGGAAATGAGCAGAGTTGGAAGATTTTGTCACGTTAAAACTGTCACTGTTGTCACACCAATCACTGTTGCCTTGTTTAGTGGTCCTGCTAGGCTTACAATGGACACCATCTGCGAAACTGAGGCAGTCCCTGAGAGTGAATCTGATTCTGAGGTTGAGGAGACAAGGGAGGGCATGACAATTTTAAAATTAGACGACTGGACTGTATTCAAGTTGGAGTTTGAAGTTGCCAAACTTGTTCTCCATCTCAGGCAGAAGTGGAATGCACTTTTCTTGAGGAGAATGAAAAATCCCACTAGGAGTATGACTGCACTCGATGATCAGGTTATAAAGACCATGGTTGCTATTATTTCTGCTGAGGAACAGAACTGTGAAATACCACAACCTGCTGGTATTGGACAGAGGCCCAGACCACTCATCGTCGATTATTATCCTGCCAATGCCAGGAGAAATGAGGATACTGATGACAGGGCCCCCTAGGAGGTTTCCATGACTTTCTGTGCTCAATACCGAAGGCTTGGGTTTATTGAGAGAAACGACAGTCATTATATCAGTATTTTACTTCACATTTCGGGGATTATCGGAGAGTTTCGATTGTCAATTGATTTGCAATTGGAACTTTGCATGGAAATTCTTTTTAAATTAATAGTTTTCACGAAAAATTGAGGTTTAAACCAAAATTCAACTTCATCTCAGTGTCGTATTCGTGAATGACTCAAGGAAACAATTTCATGTAATAATGCAATATTGTTTGCCCTTTATGTAATTCAAAATGGTAACTAAATGCGATGAACAGGCTGTGTAGAGTAGAAACCAGTGTAATTCTTATTTTATTGCGTTAGTTATTGAAATTGATATTTTATTATCGATAATTACAGTTCATGGAGTCTGATATTCATGGATTATTACACTGCAACGACCGATTCATCATAGCCATTGATTTTCAATCGATCTGATTGAAATTGATCATTTTTGTGGATTTAATATTGCGAATATTATCCTTATCTGATCCCAAATATTCCACATTTATATTTTTTTGTTCATTTTTTTCACGGTAATTCATTCGTTCCAATTTTTTCCACCTGTTTTTTCATTTCTCATTATTCAATAGAACATACGCTCATTGCATTTCATTGCATAATAAGAGTATCGTCTTTTATTTTATGAAAGATCTCGAATTCGGATGGACGCGATGAGTTCATCTCTCCTAATGTTCAAATTTGTAGTAATATTTCGGTGTAAATTGCATTAAAATAAATGAGAATTATAAATATTTTCTGTTGTTTATTTAATGCAATAGGATATTTTTTTATCTTCAATGTTTCCGGTAGCTTTGAGGAGTTTATCTTCCACGAGGTGAATACGTAAATTCAATTCCTCAAAGGCGGACAAAATTTTTCTATTAATTTCTGTAGTGCATTTTCCCATCATCAAATGTTCCCGGAAAATTCCCAAAGCGATAGGAATCCAAAGGCAGGGGTTTCCCTTTATATTAGAGCATTAGCCTTTGCGCAGAGAGTTTTGATGATTGCTTCCATCTCCATGAGATTTTTGTCAGCGATCCGAGCGATTTTTCCCTCTGGCAGAATCTCTGGCTCGAGTCTAAGTAATTCATAAGCATCTTTCAATGCAGTTCGCGAGAGCTGTATAAAATAAGAACAACTGTAAATTACTAGTTCTGCATTAATATGACCATTTCTAAGATGTCTGGAAAATCTCTATTCTTTGATCAAGCAGTTAATCACGAAGGATAATTATTCTTTTAATTGATATTACCATGAGCATTCCGCGGAGTTGATCAGGTCCTTGACGTCTTCCAAATTCAGCCATGGCTGCATGAATTTCAAAGAGAACTAATCCTCGAAGTCTAACTTCAGCTGGAAGTTTACAAATTATCATGGAATTTGCAAAATATTAATTAATTAGACAAATTCAATATATTTAATTTATTTTCGATTAATTATAGTATGTAATTATCGAAACAAAAAATATGGAGCGCTCAGGAAAATTGAAATAAAAAAGAAATTAAATTCAGTTGAAAAATGTGCGGATGAAAATATGAAAAGGAGGAAATGCGAATACCTGGCATGAGGATTTTAAAGAGCTGGTCGAGTTTTTTGCAAAGAGATATTTTCTCGTTGAGCATTTCGTCGCTGACGGCTGGTAATCCTCCGGACTGTTGTCCAATCATCTGGGACATCGCCAGTTTGACGTCAACCATGTAGAAATGATTCTCATGCAGAATTCTGGAATATTTACTCAGAAATCTCCTGCACTCGTCGACATTGTTTTTCGTCATCGAGGATAATTCTATCCCGATCTTCTCGAGCTTAACGTCCACCGCTTCCCAGGGAATCACCTCCTCGCAGATGCTACAGGTGTAGTCTGGATATTTTTCGGTGGATTTTACTAAGAAAGTCGGTGGCAACATTGTGCCGCAGCAATTACTGTTAAAAATTCAGTTATCTCAGTCAAATAGACTTTATCCTTTAAAATAATTTCAATTTGGACGGGGAAATGATCGTATAATATTGTTTTAAATCGTAAGAAATTGTCTGGAATCTTTTTAAATCATGAATAATCTTTTGAAATCATGAAATCGTGTGAAACGACTCGAAATCTTCTAAAATCGGCAATAAATCGGTAATAAATCGGTTAAAATCCGTAAAAATCGGTAAAAAATTGAATGAAACAAAATAAGTATTCTCACTTTTTGCTGCATTTCAATCCATTGAACATGGTTCCGAATTCGGTTGGATCAGAGCACCGAGCGCATTGGCAATGGAAAAATTTAGTTTGTAATAGATAATGACGTCTGTTAGTGACTCCCCACAGTGGATCAGTGTAGCACATGCTGATGTGATCTCCTGCAACATAAAAAATGCTCATATTCAATGGTATTTACAAAAAACACCGTTTATGTTCCCAGAAAAAATATTCAATTGGATCCAGTAAAAACTCCCAAAGTTGTATTGAGTTCATTTTCTCATTCATATAATGCGAAATTAATTTCTTTTTCAATCCCAGAATTTGTCTGAAGATAAAAAATCAGGTTCTTGTTTTATAACACTTTGTCGGTATTGTTGATAATTTACTACCTTTATTTATTGCTATCGCTGCTCTAATTATTAGTCCGTCCTTTTCCGTGAAGCTCTTGGAACTATTTGCGTGACAACTGTGTTCGAGGTACGAAGTTAAATCGTAAACTGCGATATGCGGGGGTTCAGTCGTGGGGACTTCCTGGCCATTGATCTATTAATTATCAATAATTAATTAATAGTTCTCCAGCAAATTGGTGAAAAAATAAATAGAATTCACGATTTTCAAGTCAACGAAATTTTGAGAAGAAAAATTATTTCAATTTTTTATCATTTTCACCTGGAAAAATGGGGATTACCTGGAGGACACCCGCGATTTTAATTATCTCCTCCAGTGGTATATGATCAATCTTGAAAAATCGTTTAACGAAATTCGCCAATGATTTGTGCTGTTCTCCTCGATCGTAATCGTCGATGGGACAATCACCCTGGAGATCGAGAATTATTTTATAGGTTTTCGGATCAGCATCCCTCAAGGCTAGAGCACGAAGAATATTTATGCACCTGTACGTCGGATGAGGACATCCAAATTCAGTGATTGACACCTGTAAATTAATTTAAAAAATGCACTGGTCACAGAAAACGTTGATAAGAATTTTCAAAAGAAGGATTTTGAAAAAATGAAAATTCTTTTATGAAGAGTGAACCTTTGAATCTCGATATTGAGTGGTGAACTGGCATTCAGGGCCATGTCCTTTGCATTCCCTGCACAATGGCCATCCGCACTTGTGACAAGGTTCAGCTGTATCAGCATGAAGAACTCCATAACACCCGAGGCAAACCGGAGGAGTATCCACCGGAGGTCCAGCCACCAGAGGTTTCCTCTCCCTCAGGAAAACCTCTCCCTGTTCGATCCTCTTCGTCGCGATGTAATGCCTCCCCAGGATCTCATTTGTCTGCAGCTGAAAAAAAATACAAATTCTCCCCTACATCCTCAACACTAAAAAATTATAAACATTCGCCGAAAAACCAATCTGATATAAAAAAAAACCACAATATCTTAATTCTTCAAAAATTAATTCCTTGATTTCACAATTCGAAATGATTTCATAGAATTCTTGGTAAAATGGCAATAATTAATTTATTCAATTTATAATAAATCATTGAAATCATAATTATAATAACAATTTCACAGTTGCATGATTGCATGTGCTATTGGACTCAAACAAATAATTATCTGCGATGCAAAATTAATAAGAAATAGATGAATTATCGAACGACAATTGTGAGTAGATAAACATTTAATTATCTGACAACGGAGATTTACTTTGAAGGACCGGCAATTTTTTGCATGTTCTTTCCAGTGACACCTCTGGTGCTCACGACTGCAATAAAAAACGAGCTTGCAAGCACTACACTTCTGCTGTGCCGATTGCTTACACACAGCGCAAATGTCATCTCCATACATTATTAACGTAAATTTTCCGAGAGTTTAATTGAAAAAATTCAACACACTCGTTTCGATTCGAGCAGAGATACTGTTGTATTCGAGCGTTCATCCATTCGAGCAAGAGAAACCACCAAAAATACTATTAATAGCCAAACCAAAATGCTTGGGATGCGGTTAAATATATGCTGCATTACACCACTTAGGGATATCTCACACAATGCAGTATAGATCTTAATTATCATTTCAAACTCGATAATTATCACCGGCTAATTTGCATTTGCGAGATGAAAAACGTACGCGCAGATATATTTTAAATAAATTACACCCAAAAAATATTATTCTGCAATTACGAACGCAATTTACACCCAAAAAAGTATTAATAATAGTGATATTATTATTAATAATGATAATTACAACCGCATTAATGTATAACTGCTTTGAGCGTTATGCACCGTTTTTTAAAAGTAATTCATGTTTAGATTATTTTTTCAATACGTAAATTTTGGAATTATAAATAAATAAATATCAGATGTCTTACACAAAACGATTTCTGATTTTTAGGAGTGTTTAGGAGAATTGCACGTTAATAGGAATTAGATTAATATAAATTAAATGGTAATTGTGATGGAATTAAAAACGCAGAGACTGCTCCTCATTAATTCTTGTTTTTTTTATTAAAAAAAAAACATTTTCACTGCACACACTTAACGATCGTCACGTAATGACGTAAAGAACATCATTATCATTAGTGGCTATCTCTTTTGTTTATCATATATACAGGGAATCCAGGTGAATGTTGCTAGTTGATTATTGTAAAACGTGGAACCATGTCGATTATTCTTGGAATATTGTTGCTCATAAATTTCAGTTATGGACTATCGGCGGACGAATCAGAGCTCGTGGTTGAGACAGCACTTGGAAGTGTTGAGGGTTCTTACAGAAAAAGTAGTCTTGGATACAAGTACAGGGCCTTTGAAGGGATTCCATACGGAAAACCACCAATCGACGACTTGAGATTTGAGGTACAATCTATTCTAGATCAAGAACAATTTCTGAGAACAATTCATTCAAATCGATTAATGAAATCATCTCGAAATAGAAAACGCATCCATTTGATATCAATAGAGAATTTATTATAATTAAATCGACGTGTAATAATAATAAAAAATCAATCATCAATAATAATCAATAATCAATAAAAATCGATGTATAAATTGAATAAAAAATTCAATTTTGCATTTCAAATTTAACTGAAGTACATAAATTTATTTGAGTCTGATAAATGATTTTTCAATTGCTCATTATTATTTTTCTTATTATTACGTAAATTATGGATTTATTTCATATTAAAAATTAATTAAATTTAGCCCCCGGAAAGATATGGCCCCTGGGAGGGTACGTTAATGGCAAAAAGACCTCGAAGTGGTTGTGTCCAATTTGCTCCTGAGACCGTCAATTTACCCGAAAGAGTCCACGGAGATGAGGATTGCCTCCACCTGAACATCTACACGCCCTCAAATCTCCCAAAAAATCAATTGAATTTACTTCCTGTCTTGTTTTGGATCTACGGTGGATCCTTCCAGTTCGGAGAGGGTTCCAACGAGGGCTCGTCCTACATCATGAACCGAAATTTAATCTTCGTGACCTTCAATTACCGTCTCAACATTCTAGGTAATTGTTTAACTATCATAACTATTCGGTACATCACGCTAAATATTTTTATCAGGTTTTATGAGCACCGGGGATGGAGTGGTACCTGGGAATATGGGTCTGAAGGACCAAAGTTTGGCTCTTCGATGGATTCACGAGAATATCGAGTCATTTGGTGGTGATCCAAATGGAATTACTCTCGGTGGAGTCAGTGCTGGAGGTTCCAGCACTCATTTTCACTATCTGAGTCCCATGAGTCGTGGGCTCTTTCAAGGTCTCTCAAAAATATATTCAACATCTAAATAACAAATTATTCACATTAAATTGAATATTTGACCATTATTTTTTATCACAATTATTATTATTATATTATTACTGTAGTTTATTGATAATTATTTCGATTTTTTAAATAATAATTATGAATAATTTCTATTGTATCGTTTTCTGTTTTTTTTTCTAGATTGAAAATTGAAAATTATTTTTATTGATAAATAATAATTCTCAGGAGGAATGTCATTTAGTGGAACTGCTCTGGATAATTGGGCCCAAACCGAGGGCAGCGGTGAAAAAGCCAGGAAGGTGGGATCATTGATGGGATGTCCTACAGAAAATACCAAAGAAATGGTTGATTGCTTGAAGAAAAAACCTGCAAAAAAAATCGCCGCCCAAGTCGGGAATTTTCAGGTAAACTGTTATGAAAAATTCGATAACAATAATATCAATCATTGCTGGAAATCTTTTTTTCCACCAGCCATTTATGTTCAACCCGGATGTGCCCTTCGGGCCAGTAGTGGAGCAGAGCTCCTCGTCACCGTTCCTGGATCGAACTCCAGTGGAGATAATCAGGAGTGGTGATGCTGCTGATCTTCCCTGGATATCAACCGTCGTTTCCGAGGAAGGGCTCTTCCCCGTGGCCGAGTTCATCGAGAAGAAAGAAATTCTGGAAGAGCTGGACGAGAAATGGGTGGAAATCGCCCCTCATCTCCTGGATTTCAATTTCACTGTTCCACAGGATGAACAAGCATCTGTGGCGGAGACGATCAGACATCATTACTTCGGTGGAAATAAAATTGATAAAAAGAGTGTTATGTCTCTGGTTTACTTGCATGGACATCGATCATTCTCACCACTGGGCGCCAGGTTGATGGCAAAATACAATCGGAGTCCTGTGTGGGTTTATTATTACAATTATCGAGCACAAATAAGTTTGACTGATTTGTTCAATGTCACTGGAAATTACGGTGAGTTCTATCTCAATTTCTATTACTTATATTCATAAGTAATATCATAATAATTATTATGATTGTAATAAATTAATAATGATAATATTTTGAATAATTTTATAATTCCTATTATTTAGTAATGCGAAAATTGATTAATCAATAAAATAATAATTTATATTTGTATGCTTTTATTTTAGGAGTTTGTCACAGTGACGACGTCTTATTATTTATAATAAAGTCAGAACTGGCGGAGATCACCGATGAACCAACGTTAAAAATGCAGAAGATTCTCTTGGATATGATAAAATCCTTCATGTTGAATGGGTATAATTCAATCATTTGATTTGACTTTGATGATTCAGTACTTCTGATTTTTTTAATTACAGAAAACCATCTGTTGGAGTCAGCTGGCCCCCAGTGAAGCCAGCCAAGAAAAATCTGAGGTATCTCCATATTTCAGGACCTGAAGACCTCAGGGCCAAAGTCACATCGAATTTCGCTCAGGAGAAATTCTGGTCTTCAATATCTTTCGACGAGAATAGAATATAAATATCAAGAGATGTATATCTTTTTATAAAACAATTGAAGTGAAGAAAATAAAATTAAATGGATTGCAATTATGAAAATAATAAGATAATGCAATCTAATAATAATTGTAGTATTCATTTTTTAATCGTTTCGTGAGAGCGAATCGCTAATTATATATGAATAATAAATATTGATTTGTTATTGATTTGTTATTGACTTTTTATTGATTTTTTATTGATTTGTTATTGTACGGGTGGTCGAGGTCAGAAATGAAAGACAGTATTAAACAATATTGTCAGTCAGTTAGACATTTCATTTATTACTGGTAATTTTGGTTCAATATCGGATATTTCCACGTGTCTCGTAGCCTCCCTTGCCCCCTTGCCCTTTATTTTTTTAATCCTCTGTGCTTCCCAGTTATTCATCGCACTCATTCTCAAAAATCCACCCCTCTCCCCTCACTTCTCATTTAGAATACTCGAAAGGATAAACTCCGAGACTTAATCGCCAAGGATTACACGAAATTCCTACATTTTTCACAATTATGTGCGAATTCGATTTCAGACGGAGTCCTTTATTCTCATTGAGGATTCCTTCCTCCATCTTTACAAAAGTTTGGAGTTGAAATTTACAGGAAATTTAAACGAATGGACATTCCTACTGTTACACAGAGATGGGGAAACAAGAGATCGTTCTTCATTCACACTCTAAGAAAAAAACTGCTTTTGACAAAAAAAATCATAAATCTACTGGAAATTGCATGAATTTAATTTCCTTCGATTTAAAATTCTCTCTCTTATTCAGAAAAAATTATTGATCACATTTTACGATTTTAAAGAGATATTGCCGATACTATCTCATTTTGCATATTTTTTTTTAATTTCCGACGGAGCGTCGATAGAATTCAAATATTAATATTTAATGCCTCAAATTTTTCTAATCGTGCGTTTTTCTCTAAATTTTTTGTAGTTTTGTGAATTTTTATAAATGTTCATTTTCACGTCGATTGCAACAATTATCAACCGTTTCTCAGAAATTTATAAAAAATCAGAATATTTTGGTGTGTGGAGTAAATCTTCATTGTCAGAAGTAGTTCTATTCTCTGAGCAAATTGAATGCGAAATTAAGGGGAAAATAGCTATATGGAGTATCTACTCAGGACGAATGGATTTATCTCGATCGGAGAATGATCTATGCATGGGGTTCAAAGTGAATATCTACTCCTTTATTAAATAAGAATGACAAATGGTCCTATCACAGTGGGTGATGAGACTCAAAGTTACAACACCGAGACTCGTACACACCAAGTACTCGTTACAATTTTCATTATCTCTCATTCGTTACTTCCCCTCCAATTTCGAGGGGCTGGGAAATTTCATTGAGCGTCTGTTGTCCCTTTACTCCTACCCCCTCTTTTATTTATAAAAAATAAAGAAATTTTACATTTCGAGGATAATTTTGTACACTTAATCTTCCCAAACTTCTCGATTCTGTTTATCAATCAACTAATGATATTTCTGGATGGAAGTACGAATTCATTTTCCACGAGATTCAAATTAATTGGTGGACAAGTAATCGTCAAAGTTCCGATGATATTTTGAATGATTTATCAAAAATCCGGTGTGAAAACAAATACGCGATTGTAATATTGATAGACTCATTACTTTGCGTGGATAATTATCTGGTCTTTATTGCACCAATTGCAATTTATTATTAAATTAAAATTTTTATCAAATAAAAATAATGAAATTCCTATAAAACATCAAAATAATTTCTATAGAATCCCGATATAAATTCCAAGAAACTTCAGAATTTTTTGAATTTATGATCAACCCCCGGAATTCATCAAATTAGAAAACCGAAAAATTTTCTCAAATTTCCCATAAAAACCAAAAATATTTACAAATTATTAAAAAAATGTGCATCCTACAATTACAATATCCACGTAAAAATAATAGTCTCACTGACCTACTGAAATGACAAAAATTCCACAACGACATGTTCACATACTCGTTCCTCTACTTATGTTTATTACACTTCTAATGAGTACGTAGGATAATCACATCAAAAGCGTATACCACTCGTTCATCGATTTCTCTCTGGGGCAGGGAGGGTTGCATTCAAGTGCTTCGCAGAATAATTGCATAACGAATGAAACCACAGCTTCCTGTATCATAGAAGGAGAAGCACAGAGATCACACCGACTCAGTCATCATCCCCAGCTCATCACCACCTCCATTCTCCGTCAAGTGAAGTAATTCACGATAAAATACACAGCCTTGCCAATTCAATGATTTTCCCATAAAATCTCATTGCGACAGGGGCCGATTATATTAAAAAGGAAAATCAAGGAAACTCTAGCTGTCACACAAATCTAATGACGTCAATAGAAAAAAAAGAGAGAACAAAATCATCAGCTGCTCAGGGCGCATTTTAATCATTTGAGTCATTTGGATTGTTTATTTATTCTAGGATTTGACTGTTTTCACGGTCGACCCTTTAATTTGGTGACGAGCTAGAATTTTCCAGTTGGCAACACTATCTGAACATGATATTTCATCCTAGAGAACTCGAAACTCATCGCACGGAATGAAGAGCCATTTTATAAGCGTCATCTTCTCAGTTTCGTAAAAAAAACGTATCATAAATATTTTCATTCGGATTGATGCCACTCACGTCTTTCCTTCATTAGTCCGGGCGCATAAACAGTAATAATACAGGGCACAGATAATATATATGCATGTATATACAGAAGATCCGACATGTCTAGAGGATTTTTACTTTCCAATTTGTCGTGATTGCGTGTTACCACAGCAGTTTACACTATTATTGTGATATTTACAGGTATTATTTTTCGTTATTTCTATTCCCCCGAGTGAATGCTCGTGAAATTGGTATTTTCTGTCTAACAATCACAACTCACGAAAGACAAAATTCAATTGTTGTCACTCGAATAACGAACAATTCTCGGAACAAAAGGGACTTCCCCTCTTTATTTACTCTTCACTTGAGCGGATTTTCAAGTCCAGTGGAACGAGGGAGATAATCCATAACCGATCCCCGGTGATCTGCAAAGATCTCCAGTTCACGGTTCACCATTCTCACCAGCAGAACACCGAAACCTCGTTTCCGTGATCGCCTCCATGCCTCCAGGTCGTCACAGCACGAGCCTTCAACTGGAAAACAAAATAACCACTCATTATTACCCCGAGATAAAATAATAATCTGCCAAAAAATTCCCAGAGAATATCAAATTCTCGCGAATTTTTCCAAACTCACTGAGTTCCCTAATCTTCATGGAAAATATTTGAGAATTTTTCGGAAAACCGGGGAATTATCTAGAACTTCAGTAGATGGTGCATCGTCACAAGAGCTTTCTCTAAAAACGAGCCACGATAACGAAACTACAGACATATTCACTTGAAAAGTGAATCAACGAGATCAAAAGCCCGAAAGTAGAGAAAAACATCTACCCTCGGCTTGAGCTTGCATTTGAGCTTTTCCACCAGTTTCTTTTGTTCCAAATGTCTTTTTCCCTTTCTCTTCATCTATTATGGAATATCCAGTGCACTGGAGAGTTGTCCACCCAGGAGACTAGCTTTTCAGCGTAATATTACCATTTTTACATAATTTCATGACATAAAAATTATATTAATGAAGATTGATAATCATTTTCACATTTTATCATAAAATCAAATCAAAATAATAGTCATAATATTCTCATTCTTCAGGAATAACATCTACAAGGAATTAATCTCAAATCCGTTCCCCGGATTTTCTGTCTCTAAATCATTGGATGTACAAAAAAAATTTAATAATCAAGTATATATTTTTTGTCGTATGAGCACTGAATGTCAGATGATTTTAGACCGTCATAAGTTGAAAAAAAAAATGAAGAATCAAGTACAGATCTATTTTTGGTAATATTAGCAGGTGACTGTGCAGTAGAGAAAGGTTTACTGCTGCAGTACGTAGATGTCTGCTCGGATATTTATCTAAACCACTGCTTTTGAAGCACCAGCGGGATATCAGGGGGTGGCGGAAGGGCGGGAGGGGGTGGACATGATGGCTGCCGTCGAGTGGGCGTGGTTTTGTCGGGGGGGTGGTGGGAGGATGAAGAGGAGGAAGAGGAGGAAGATGAGGAAGAGTAGGAAGAGGAGGAAGAGGGGGAAGAGGAGGAAGAGGGGGAGATTTTACTCTGAGCCATTGAGGGGGAATGAAATGGACGGAAAGTGAGGTTTCCCCCGGCTGTACTGACGGGAATACTACGGATACTACGAGCGTACTATGTGCTACGCTAGGCACCGACGAGACAACCCAACCGAGACCAGTTGTTCTGCTCATCGCTCTGCTTGTTTTCACCATCGCTTATACCTATAACTGACATGGTTTTTGCACCATTTGCCACTGCTCATCATTTTTTTATACGACTATACAATCGAATATAGCTGATCTCCAACAAATTACCACCCTTCTTTCAAGAGGTATTAATTAATCACCCATTTCAAACAAGTGATGGCACTAATAAGTCCAATTGTTTACTTGCTTCGAGGAAGTTAATTTGATTATTTATTGCTCAGGGAATTTATTTATATGTATAATCGTTTGGTTGAAGAAAAATCAATTATCTATTTAATTCGTCGGGGGCAGCTTGTTAATGTAAAAATAATGGGTGTTTGAGATTGATATTTTATTTTGCAAGTTAATCGGAAAAATTTGGGAAAAATGGAAAATTCAGTGGATTTTTTCCTCCGTCTTGTTTCTCATTTGAATCATGGGAAATCGGAAATTCTCAAACAAGTGAGATTAAAATATCGTTGTCTCGATTCATTTGGGGAATATGGTGGCTCGAGTGGTTGATAGAATTATTGAATTTCGAGGATTTTGGGTAGCCCTGGGGAGGGTATACAGAAGGTATTATTGGTATGTATGCAAGTACGTGTTGTGAGAAATAACAGGGGGTATTATTATTGTAATTTGCTCGTGTCTCCGGGATCGTACGTGCATACGTTAATGCAACAAGAGGGATACGGTATGCACAGATACCCGATGTGCTCGGTTACGTCCCCAATGACTGTGTATTATGCTCAACGTGTCGTCCTATTAAGGGAGGATGAAGGGCATGTCGGAGGATTGTTCCAGAGAACTTCCAAAGGCATGCACTGAGAAAATAAATGATTTTCCCCAGGGTCCATACTTGAGAGAAGTAGTGGATCAATATTGTCTGTTGCCTATCGAATTACCACAACTCAAAATATTATGGTTTCAAATATTTCAACAAAACACGCATTATTTCGAAACATTAGGAGAATGAGGGAAAAACATAATGAATAGTTGGTTTATCATCCACAAGATCAGAGATCGAATGACCAATTCAATTCGTAGAAATCCTCAGGCAGTACTTAGGATGCAACGCAAAATGCGCGATTTCTTAACGTACACAAAAGCATCCCGAGCTCACTCAAGCAAATCACGACACTCGACTACACTTGGTAATATTGCTTCAAAAATAATGGAGGGCAACATTAATTTACCAGTGTAATATTTCTGCGCAGTAAACAATTTATATCAGAATCCCTTCATTTGTAATATTAAAAAAAATAATGTAATGATATCGTAATATCTCGACTCGTAACCTTTTTCGGGCTGATATTTTCGCGAAGCAATATATTTGCAGTATAATATTTTGAGGGGTGATATTATTAGCACCTGGGGAATATTACCTGTTGCATTTTCTCAAAATCGAGACACGGCCTGGGCTGACGGTGTGGTGGTCGATGACGTTTCCGTGGACTGCAGGCACTCAACGAGTCGACATCAGTTTCGATTTGATAATGATGATGGTAATAGTGATGATACAGGTGGGGATGATGCCTGGGCCGTGAACGAGGCCGTGGTGGCGGTCGTGGATCCCTCGTTGATGCATGAAAGAGCTTCGGTGGTGGTGATAATGATCTCCCAGGCTTGTGAGCATCGATTGGCGGTGATGTGCGGAATTGCACTGGCTGTGAGATTATACTCCCATTGCTTCTGCTGCTTCCCAACAAGCCTTGTACCTGTTTCAAGGAATAATCAAACGTGTTATTTTTCATATTCAGCATTCCACGGAACTCGATTCCTTCGATCCAGTCATACCAGCTCATACAAAACTCTGAAAATTCTTCATGATTTCACGATCATTTAATTCAAAATTCTTAATAATTAATTATCAATGATAAATTATGATATCATTACATACAATCTAGCTTTAAAAATTATTAGCTGATGTAAGTGGTAAATTTTCGTGCGATAACTATACGCAACTGCTCCTTGAGCAATTATTTAAATGGGAAGTCTTGTTTAATTGGGAATTGGAAGAGTATAATTACCTCTTCGTCGCTGGAGCCTGAACCAGTTGGTTCCATTCCAGCTCTGCTGACTGGAGCCGAGGAAGTGGAGACAATAGCAGGTACATCGAGACCGAGGGCTTGCTGGGACTTGGATTTCTCGGACTGATTGGACTGCTGACCCGGACAATGGCCCTGGACACTGTTGTTGCTGACCTGTGACCATTTACGTTTCTCAGGAGCTGTCGCTGGTCTGCCACCCTGGGATACTGTCGACTTTGGACTGTTTATCACCTCGAGCTCCTCCTCGGAGCTGTGCTGGTCGTTGTAATTCAGAGAGAGCAGACTAGATTCCCGGGACTTGCATCCCTGGAGTCTCGAGGATGGCAGGGATCCAGGATGCAGTCGGGGTTCGGAATTATCAGTCAACTCCTCGCTTGAATTTCGCTGGAGAAAACTGAATGTCGTTGGTGAACCCACGAAATTACCGTCCCCACTGTCAGCAGCTGGAGGACTTGCTGGACTTCCCATGGCTAAAAGAATATATTTTTCATGGAATCTCTATAAATTATTCAAAATTTCTCTAAAAATTCAGGGATTTCCACGAGCTGAACGAATTTGAATGAATTTGAAATTTCTCGTTTCTTTTTTGTCGAATTCTGCGCTTTGAGAATTACTATAATTGTAATTATAATAAAGAGATTACTGAATAATTCGAGGAATGGGAGAATTTTTGGATTATCGACGAATTCCGAAACTTTAGATTGAGTTGTAATGGAATGAAAAAATTTCTTTTAATTCTGCATCGGTATTTTTTGTTTGAGAATTTTCGTCAAGCTTTTATGAGTGAATGGCGAATGCCCCAACAATTGCCATTTTTGTCCCGTTGACAACCCTCAGACCCCCCGCAAAATTCAATTTCTCCTTCCGCTCGGCAAATCCATTACGGTCTGACACGGCAAAGTGTCAGACAAACAGGTTACATTATAAACGCGATGGAGATGTTGGTGGCAGAAATCATCTGTCATATTAAAACTTTCCTCTGCAAAAGAGACACAACTGTTTCTTTCCCCTCAATCATCCCCTATCCCTAATACCTGTTCATCCCCAGAGAATCTACCTGAATACCTCAAATCATTAAATCAAAATTCACGCGAAGCAAATCGTTTTAAAATTTCATTATGCCTATTAATGAAAATGAATAATAATATAAAAATGATTTACCAACAACTCAAAAAAATAGACGCACGACTACCTTGTAAGTCATCAAATAATAATAAAATGATAAAATAATATGATTTATAAAAATCATGGAAAATGAGACTATATCAGCAGTCATGAAAAATTTGCGTTAAATTTTGCACCAATCGTGCAAAAAAAAATGGCAACATGACGTTTGTTGACAGTCGATAGTATGGAATATGGAATTAGAGGGTTCCAGGTGCTGTTAAGAGAATTGGCATAGAATAATCTGAACGGAAGCCGTCAGACTGTCCGTATTATCTCACTATTTTTTTTCTCTCTCATTATATGCACCGTACATCGTGACCCAGCCATCAGCTGATCGATACACGTCACCCGTTTGGTACTAACTTTCTGAAAAACATCAGATCCACGAAGCAACCCGAGTTGAATCGAGCCAACCCCAGACCCTTTCCTCTTCCCTCGGATTCCTGCATGCACTCAGAAAGGAATATATATTTTTCCGGATATCTTTTTCATACTCTTACCAGAATAATGTATATATTTTGTGAAAGCACCATGAGTCATTGCCACGTGCTCCAAATTCAATTTCAAGCATGAGAATTATCTTCAATAATATATATTATCTATAAAAATACAAATGCTCATAAATTAACATTTGCTATTATTGTTTTCTAATTACCTATCATTATTTCGAATTATTTAAGCTGTGGAGGGAAGACCTGCCTTTTGATAAAATATTTTCATTTCCAGAAAATTCCCATTAGGTTTCAATTGTAATTAATTACTCATTAATAATTTCCAAATTCGTGATTTTCTGGGGAGAACAATCATGATTGATCCCGTGATTTTGATGATTATTGGATGAGTTCAGTCAAGGTCAGAATTAATGTGAGGATTTTCCAGATTAAAAAATTGTAATAATTGAAATGTAATTAGAATTTTTTAGAGGTGACTGGAGGGGAGGAGTGCAGGGTTTGAAGTCAGAACATTTTTCTCAAAGAAATGAATAGTTGACAGAAATACATTTTTTTCTTAATGCATTCTCTTATCCGTCTTATCATGCACATGTCTGATACACTAGAATTGATATCACCAGTCTTTACTACTGTCCAGGCGACCTCTATTCGATGGTTTCTATTTTTATTTCAACACCCCTAAAAATAAAAATGCATTGCTGACTTTTTCCATTTGCACCAAAATTCACCCTTTAATGTTCAATTTGAATTCAATCGTAAAACGTAAATCGTATACGAAAATGCATAAGTTTTTCAGTAAATGAATGCCGGATTTGAATTAATGGGTGAAATAAAAATTGAAGTATTACAATAACTGACTGAGTTGAATTTAGGATGGTAAATTCTGGGTGCAATAATAATGCGGATATAGGGATGAAGCCAAGTCCATCTATCCCCCAATCTTGGATGCCAGCCTGAGCAGTAGACTGAGTAATGGTCCCACATGACAAGCCAGATTTTAACTTTCGTGGCACGGAGAGAATAATGTAAATTTCGAGAATAATGTGACGGAAGGAATATGATGCATGGACAAATTCATGTAGCTATCTGTGTGATTATTTTCAACGAGTTGTTGGAATATCCAAATAGTATCGACTAGTCCCAAGCTGATTGTATCACTTATTTTATTTCCATAGTAAAAAACATCTCTCCGAATCCAAACATATTTGTCTAATCATATCCCCCCATACCACTTCCCCCGGCTTCTCTAATTATGATAATTTATCCTGCACTTACCACTTGAGGGCTCGTTCCCAGTGACACTGCCATCCTGGAACTCATCATCTGATTCGGTTCCCGAATCGTGATTGTCATCCGCCTGTAAATAAAAAAACGTGTGAATAAGAAAAATATTTACACTTAGTACTTCATATTTTCAAGATTGCCGATTTGATAAGCAGTTGTCAAAGAATTTTTTTTAGGATTCCGTTATTAATTCATTCTCTGGATTTATCGGGTATTTTACCGGTCTTGTATTTTTTTTAATATCTGATAAATGTAATCGTGAATGAAGTAATAAAATAAGGGAAGGCAGAATCATAGATCATCATTCATGTCTCCGTCCTCTGAAAATTCTAATCTTCATTGTAAAGGGAATGACGAAGCATCTCGAAATTCAAGACAATTATTTACGCTATCTCCAGTTGTCTCTGGTAGCCAACAATATGCTAATCATCTGGACGTATCCAGGAAACACGTCTCATGTGTTTCCACAAGGCGAAGATATGGGTACACTCCCTGTTTCTATCAGTTTGATTATTTACTTATTCCATTTTACATAAACTCAGCCTCAACTTCGGAGCAGGAAAGTCAGTGAAGAGATTGAATTGTTCAGAAATTATGTAGAAAAAAATTTATTTCATTGACACTTAGATTATTTCCACGAGGCAGATGTCATCAGATGAATTCAGTTTAGGCTGGGGAATTAATAAAATTTTTCAGGTATAGCAAATATATTGACTCCTCGGGTTTTTTTTCCAGTGCATGCCAGGACGATGTACTAGTTCTGAAATCTTTGCACCGGAAGTTGGCACTAGCCATTTCTATTGAAGTCCTCGACCCCAACGGGTTCTTCAGACAAAGAAAATCATTTCGAACTCGCCAGCAGAAAAAGGTGCGTCTTTTTTTTATTTTTAGATGGGTAATTTGACAGCTAGTTGTCGATAAAACTTTCAATTTTCCTCGTTCTAGTTTTATAAATCTTAAGATCAAGATTTAATTGAGATCAATTTTTTTAATATTCAATTGACAATTGGTTCTGGAATGTTCACAGATCTCGACGGATTAAATTGAATTAAATTGATCAATTCATTTTTTTTAGAATTCAATGTTCATTCATTAATACTGGAGTACTTAACCCACAACAATTTGACGTTTGAATAAAAACTGAAAAATATTCCACAAGGAAAACCTCACCTTATCTTGATTTGGATCCTCGTTAAGTGAGTGAGTCCTCAATTTGTGCGTTAAAAACTTCAGCATGTTCTGTCCCTTGAAAAACCTCAAAAATTCACATCCAAACCACCAGAATCCACAGTCCTCCAAAGGTCCTCCTGAGATCCAAATTCATTCCTCTCCACAATTTCCAAAAAAGAAAGTTCCCTGTCACCGTCAGGACTGTTTCACCCAGTCTGACACGAGCCACATAATCTACAAAAACCACTCCAAAAAGTCACTGCCAAATTGTTGGCACCTGTCAGCCCCCAAAGTTCGTGGCCAAAAAGATTTTTTCATTCCAAAAGGCCTTTATTTTTTTTTTCTGAACCCTGACGTGTGTTTCGAATCGATCACTCTCGAGCGAATGGTTAACCTCTAAGATAAATAGTTAATAGCATTATTCCGAGGGTGAAATTTCGTGGGGCAGTGGCTGAATGAATGGAAATACCAGTGGTAACTTCAGGGTGATTTTCTGGGGTTGATTTAACTGGTGTTTACTGGTTAATCACAGCAAAATCACAACAAAAGTTGGCGTAATCGACACCGGTTTATATTTCGACAGTTCACTAACATCACAACAGCCGCCACCAGAGCACTTTCTCTATGTGCCACCTATATTTACAAAAAAATTCTAATTCACCCGCACTGTCATAGACATTAATGTCACGGTACTTGTAGTACTCGTCTCCCTGTGACACTATCCTCATCACGCTTTTATAGTACTTCTACAAGCTTGCCGACAATTCACCTCTCCCAATCGTCATTTTTCAATCTTTCAACCCTTTTCACTGTTTCATCTGGTGCGTCAATTTTTTTTCCCAAGTATTACTGAAATTTCTGATGTTTTGAGGATTCATGGAAAATCCATCGGTGGAAGATCCTCTTGTTCTGGACGATTTCCTGGAGCTCAGGTCTCTCTTTCACTCGCCATTTTTTTGAGAATTGAAATCTAGTGCTGAGGATTTAGTCAATTTTTATGTTTTGGTTTTATTTGAATATTTGGTCACTTGGCGTCAGTGTTTTTTTTTTGTTATTCAATAGAAAAATTTTTAGTCACTGATTTAGGCAATTTTTTTAGTTTTGTCACTGGCTCACATTTTTTGGAGTTTTAATAATTATTCAAATTTGTTGTTTAAAAATGGAAAATTCAAGAGTTTGGATTGTTTTGTTTATTATACACGTAATAAAATGACGAAATCAGGAATTATCATTTTGTATCGGTATTCCACTTAAACTACAAGAGACAATTGTCTCCAGAAAAAAATAAAATATATCTGTAATTAATTAATCCTTCCTGTATACCATGAGAAGAATATTAAACACAATGAAAAAAAATCTCACGAACAATTTTTAATAATTATTCAGTAAAAATTCCAAAAGGTCAAATAATTTGACGTAAACCAGAATGTGCATTAATCCACACCAATCACTAATCCACAATTTCGTTCAATTTCTCGAGTTCACCGAATTTACCAATTTCCAATTCACGAAATAAAGCAGTTCCTCGATTTTAACATCACGTTCTTCTTCCCACTTTCATTCACAATCTTGTCCAATTGATACCACAATTTTGTTACCCATCAGCTTGCACCATAAAAATCCAAATCTCCTGATTTTCTCCACAAAAAGTAAAACCGTCCGCTAGATATTTATCGTTTAAACTCACACATCAGTCTCATCGATCCTCAACTTTACTCAACAATCAACTGATTGCTGAAAAGTAGAATTTCATGATTTTCACATGGAGTGTAATGAGGAAATGGTTGGCGCTCTGGCACGTCTCACTTGGAGTTTATATTGCGCCAGAGAAGCGCCAGGGATTCCAGTCGTCCCAGGAATCATTACTCCCTTTCATTTGGGCTATCACCACCTGTTCTTCTCTTCATTTTTCCCTGGTAACTGCACACCAGAAAGACATACCAATGGATAAATCCGGCACTCGCATCCTCAATAATGATTTGATTATTAACTATTTTTAATGGATTCTGAATGGAAATTTGGACACTTGCCACCGGACGACTGCAGCAGTTGCCTCTAACGCGTCGTGTATGAACCTCAGGTCTCCAATTCCCCTCTCGATCCTTCCCACTACGTCATCACTCCCTCCAATTCCCTCCACAGAGGTGCCTCTAAAATCGTGCGTGGGTGGCTCCTGGGTTTGTGTTGTTAAACCCCGAGTTGTAGTCGAGATTTGATCAATGAAAAGAACAATAGCAAAGGTGAATATCATCAAGGATCCAGTTTTACGACATTTTTCCTCTCAAATCCAAGGATTCTAATCCTTGAGATTTTATTTTTTAATTTTTTTCATTAGGTCGATCCATTATCCCCCGACAGTCCCAAAATGCAATTTTTTTTATGCCTCCGTGGTGTGTGCATGCATATGTGTGTGTGGAAATTTTTTCATTTCTTTTTTTATTTCTTTGTTTTTTTTTTTCAAAAATCAATATTACACGCTAAATTCAGTCGATTCTGTGTGGAGAAAATATTTTTACAATAAGATTATATTGAAGTTTTTATGTTTTAATTATGGATGGATGGATAATGATGAAATTACATTAACAATTGAATTTCTCATATATTTATTTCCTCCGACATTGGGGGTTCAGCATAAGGCACGTTTTATTTACAAATAGTATAAAAGAATATCTATAAAACAATATGCACTAAATACCTAGCGCATCGAAACATCCAAGTACGGGTTTAAATTACTGGCAGTCTGATTCGTACGACATTTTAATTTAATGAGTAAATAGTTATATCATCGGGTAACTCGACCAAAAAAGTCCACGTGTGAAAAAAAAATCCTTGAAAAAACCTTCGACTTTTTAAAAATTCGACTGAATTCCGTTGGATTTTTCCACTGAATTTTTTTATAATGTGGAAATACAATATCAATACGAACAATAATCATTATAACGTCGTGGACGGAATTGAATTCTCCGTATTGTCGCAGGGGTTGCTCTTCTCAAGTTAAATTTCCAGTCTTATCATTTCTCCTTGATTAATGAAAAACTGAATAGCTAAAGGATAACAATTCGACGTAAGCTTCACAATTTAGTCTCATGCTTGACTTTGAGCTTGAGCAGTGGATTGACCCTGGAGCCATACGAATTATTTAAATAACAGCCGAGAGTTCCCATGGACGTGAGTACACTATTCGTTACCGAGTTCCCATGATCCACCGCTTCTTCGTTGGCAAATGCAAAACGTCTCTGCACGTCGTGCTCGTGGTTTAGAGCATGCAGATTTCTCACGTTCCCCTGCACCTCTGAATCTGTCTCCTCATCATTATCAGCACTATCAACATCCCCATCAGAGCTATTGTTCCCAGGCTGAAACCTCGAGGAATAGGGTTTGTTGACGTGAGCACGACGTTCTCGTGGTTGACTCCCTTCGTTATTATATTTGAACTCTCGAGGGAGAGTGTGACTCTTCGGAAGGGAAATTTGACTCCCCTCCATGTCACTGAGGTCCTCACCAGCCTCTGGCTCTCCCTTGGAACTATCATCCTCCTCATTTTGACTGTGTCCAGATGTCCAGTGAGGATAATGATGCCCTGACGCCAGTGGCAAGCACCTGGGGGCCAACAGAATCTCGGAAGTGTCTGGTCTCTCCCACTGAGAGATGTCCTTCCAAATATTGGTGGCATGTGCTACCGGATGAAAGGATGAAGAAGGCGGTGGTGGGAGCAAGCAGTGCATTTTGATGGGTGGCCAGGATGTCAATGGTATTCCTGTATCACGCAGAGGAGAGGACGAGGACACTGGACATGTGGTGTTCGGCGATGTGTGCAATTTGGCACTCGGTGGGGGCTGCTGATGAGCAGCTGAAATCGACGATGACGGTGATGACGTCGACGCCGACGGGGGTGGCACTAGCTTTCCCTCTCGGATTTCCTCCTGAATAGCACGCAATTCTCGCAACTGCTGCTGCTTCTTCTCTCGCAATTTTTCTCGGATCAAATTGATGTTTAATGAACCCATTGGACGGTCTACATCAGTCTTCTTCTCGCGTTCGTCGTCCTGATGAGAAATTAATTGAGGGCAATTGATTATTGGAACATTAAATTAATTATTTTGTCGAGAACAGGAAAATTCTTTGTATTATTTCTTAAATAATCAATTGACAAAATTCTAGGGACTCACGTAATTATCGGCTGTCGACAGCGGCCGTTTCCAGAATGGTATCAACTGCTTGGTATTCGTCTTATTATTATTCCAGTGCTTTGTGTCACCAAGGGCCTGAGGGGGTGGTGGTGGTGGAACGAAAGTTGTTGGTTTCTTCTTCTTTCTGTTGAGATTAGACACCGCCGGGTTGGCGAACCGGCAGTTGAACACCCCGGGGATTCCGTTGTTGCTCAATTTCACCTTCTGCATACTGATGCTCAAGGAGTTGGATAACTTCTTCGTATCGTAGTAATCCAGTCGTTTCTCCTCGTTATTGCCCTGGGAATTCAATTCACCTCTAATAAATACAATATCTTCATATTTAAATGTAACTTTCAATTTTTCTCTAGGAAATTTTGTCGATTGATTAAAATTCAATTTTATTGTGGATTAAAATTCATTTGATGTTGAAACTTACATGACTGGAGAGTGTTGTTGCAGCACTATTTCCATTCATTCGCCCCCCAGCCTCGTACCTCAATCTCCTGACATGAAAGAATCGATAATACAAAGCCATGAAGCACAATCCCCCGAAGAAGAGGGCGATAAGGATCAGAATGAGGATCACCGGCTTGGGCTGATTGGTAAATCGATAATGATCCTCATTAATCCCAACTGCCCAGACACCGATCAACAGGCTGTTCTCCAGGAACATGACAGTGTAAAAAATGAGCATTTTCTGTCGATGATTTGTCTCGTGGAGGTTGACATAGGCAAATATGTAGACGAAGGCCAGTAAAGAGGCGAGAAATGTTTTTCGGGTGAATGATAGTCGTTCACCACCGTGGAAAAGGCCATCGGGAGTGAGGAGGAGCCACATGAGCATCGAGAGCCAGTGCAAAGCCATGACAATCAGCAGCCACTGGCCTCCATACAGAGATGCATATGCCACAAGGGCTCCAACCCTTGCACTCACCGTTCCCAGACGCCAAGCAAGTTGTGCCAGAACTCCGAGCCAAGTGAGAACTAGGCGTTCTAGATTTCTCAGTCTTGCTGCACCTTTGCTGAAACTCGCCACTGCCCAACAGACACTCCACAGGGAGAGACCTGCTGACACAGCTGTTAATTCCCCCAGCTTGCTGGCATCCCACGTTTCAGATTCCAACTCTGTTCTTCCCTCTTTTATCACGTTGTTGCCAATTCCTATCGAGAGCAGGTACAGCTGCAGCAACAGCATTGGGGCTGCCTCACAGAATGCATGAATCAGACGAAGAACGCACAGCTCTCGAACCTCGTGCTTAACGAAACTCAGATTAACTGGAATAAATAATTTAAAGTATCTCCACAAGACACCAATTTGCGTGGCATGGAGAACGATGACACACCAGACAGTCCACTTGAATTTTTTTTTATGGGAATTTTGATTCTCCGATGACACGTGAATTGTTAATTTTCCTCGGGCACCCCACAGGTACCACCGCATGCTGATGATCTGGTAAACGAAGTCTCATTATTAAATTTCACTATTTGGCTGTTGAATTTTAATTACTGACCTGCGAGATCAACAACGAGACGACGACGAATCCAACGCTCAGTGGAAAAAAAATCGCTGGAGCTGTTGGATGATTCGCTAGAGCGTACCCCATTGCCAGATCGAAAACAACATCACAGAAATAGGATGCCAGTGATATTATGTTGAACAGAACATCGCACAGGGGTAGAAATTCGTGCTGATGCAGTGGTTCCTCGAAGTGGGTCATAATGGGCCTCTACTGCCCATTTGGATCATCTAGATCATGCAATAGTTTTTCTGCAATTATCAATTCAATTCCGTCATCACTTATTAATCAACTCCTCCCTATTCAGAAATGTCTGACAAAATTATAAACAAAATTTTTCAACACTTTTTGCTTTTCAAATACTTGTTTCATTAAAAAAAAAAACATCAGCAGTATTCACCACATTCTTGTCGTGTCATTGACGAGTACTTGTCGAAGTCCGTTAATCCGAATGTGGCACTGATGAACCTCTGGAGCAATTCCGGAATCTCAGGAATGCATTCGAGAGTTGACTGGATGCTGTCACTGGTTGTCTCCACAAAATTGAATTATAGAATGTATCCGGACTCTTGTAATTTTCACCTGTGAACTACAGCGGATAATCGATCGAGATCATCGTGATCTTCAGTTGACACGAAATCGTTTTTTTTTTATTGAAAAATTCACACTCACACTCGCACGTTTTGTTGCAGCGTGGCTGCAGCGGGAATGAGAATTTCTGGGCTCTCGCTGTCGAGAGAGTGGAATTTCCTTGGAGAGTGGGAGGATGTACGCATCTTTTGAGAGAGGGACACACTCTCGACGAGATGAGTTTTCCTTTACAAAAAGCAAAAGACGTGGACCGAGATATTACAGCGCCACTCACGAGGAATGCTGGAGTGTCATCCACCCCCACGAAAATTTCCCTCCAGCGGAATTTACGATGACTCTGGGATTCCATTCGCACGTTTGGAAAATTAATTTGTTTACGCGTGAAAAAATTTTGCAGGTTTTTTTAATGTGGTCAAAATTCAATTAAACTAAAAATAGTTATTACATCACTTTAAAGTCGAATTATGAGCATTTATTGAAAAACTTATTACACATTATACGAATAATTAATTGTAAACATTGTGCGAAGTTTAAAAATTTTAATTTTAATTTGTAATTTGAAATTATCGTGGGATGAATTCACCTAGAACCCCTCGATATTCCTGTTCCGTAATCTTCCCGGAAAAAAATTAAATAAAATCTCAAAGAATAATTTCATTTCTCAAGTCCCTGGTCAACTGCTTATACGGTAGTACGATGGAATTCAGGAGGATTCTCTCAGCTGCTAATGTAACACTCTCGCCTAAAATTGAAATCGATGGATTAAGCTTTCCATTGACGTTGAACAGCGGTGGATTTTCCTTCTTTGCGAATGGTTTATCGGGATCGGGATCGCAAGGGGTGCCTTCAACCCTTGCCCATTCCCCAACAACACTGCCACGTCCAATGATGCTGTGAAGTACCATCGAATGGGATTGAATTTGCGAATTAGCGAGGACAATTGACTCACGAATCCTCACCCCAGCTCCAAGCCTTACATTTGGCCCGATGCTGACGTTTGGGCCCAACTAAAATTTAAAAAAACTCCGTCATATTAAATAGAATCTGATTTGAAATCCTCAATTCTTAATATCAAAAATTCTCCCGCGTAATGGGATCAATTGTAAACAATTATAAAATTAGTAATTACCGTAGCCGTAGGATGAATAACAGCAGAGGCATCAATAAAAACATTCCCAATAATCTGACACTGGCCGCTAACGGGCGGCAGCAGACGTTCTGATTCCTTGGAACGATAAACAGCCAGATGATGTCGATTGGCATAGATAGCTGCTCCTGGTGTTTTAACCTGAGACCACCAATTTGATGTTTGGAATACACAGAACTTTCCAGTCTCTGACAATCGAGTCAAAATGTCTTGCTCCAGGGAAATATATGCAGGGTCTTTCCCATTGCCGTTCATTAGCATGGATTTATCCTGTTTATGCCTAGCATCGAATACATCAGCCATGAACTGGAAGATATCGAGGGATGCGAGGTAAACCCCACAATTGATGAGTGTCGAGACGAACGTCGAGGGCTTCTCCACGTAATGAACTACTTGCCTGCAGTCCTCTTTGCTCGGGACTATACAACCATAATTCAACGATTGTTGTCTCGTTGCCTCGGTTGCCATCACTGTCAGGACAGCTGATGTTTTAATGTGCATCTCCAGCATTTCACTCAGTGGAAAATTTGCGCAGACGTCACCATTCATTATGAAAAAAGCATCAGGATCACCAGCTCTTATCTCAGCTCTGAAGTGGTAGATCCCACCGGCTGTACCTAGGGCTGTGAGCTCCTGGAGATAACGTATGCTTATTCCGTAACTATCCGTCATTTCCTTGACGAAACTCTGGAGTTCGCTGGCATTGTAGGATCCAATTATTAGGATTTCGTTGAGATTTTTAATGTTCAAGCAGGCCTTGATGTGGTGTTCGATCATTGGAAGACCAGCGATGGGGAACAACGGCTTGGGAATGTCCAGGGATAGTGGGCGAAAACGAGTTCCTGGATGTAAAGAAAATCATTTTTATTATAACAAAAAAATTCAATTCCGAAAAGGCGGAGGGTATGAACTCAGGCGGAATATTTTTTTGCCTGCTATACCTTTAATTTTCCACTAAAAAAATATTAATAAATAATTTAATTTTCATAATTAAAATTGAAATTACCTTTCGAAGGTCCTCCAATTAATATAACTGCCTTCAACATGGTTGATTCTTTCGATATCCGATTTTCACTAGTTGTAAGGTAGACTATTCTAATTGTACTGTTCGATTGATAAGTTTCTTATCAGTTAAACATCGGCCACGTCTCCCAAACAAATATCGATTTGACAGTAACCTTGTATAAAACGGAGAGCGTAATGGCTACCGTTCAAAAATCGAATTCGACGAAGTCGAAATCGAATGAGGGAGGGGACAATCAACAACAAAGGGCGTGGTTGAGGAAATGAGTGTTAATTTCGAATAGAAAATAGAAGACGATTCATGTGCAACTGCATGGGCATGCATATGGAGAAAAAGATTGGTCACATGGAAAAAACCTGAAAAAAAGCTCATGAACACTCACCTTTTTACGCATCCGTATCAGCTGTTTAGTGGACCGCTATGACAGGCCTGTCTTTTTTATAAATTTTCTTATTTAAACAAAAGAGAGACAGAGAGAAAGAAAATAGGATAGAATGTACACTTTACAAATTCGAGATAATTCTGTGTAATAAAATAAAAATGGATATTGAAACAGAAAAAGTTATCGAACTAGTGTTTCCTGAGGGAGTTCCAACTGGTAAATTTTCCTAGTAGTACTTCGTCCTCAAAAATCCATTTCATGTATGGATAAAAAAACACTTGGTATTTTCAGATTCTTGGAAAGATGATCCTGAGTTCTACCAGTATTTGTCGAAGCTTGGAGCATTCGATGTCGAGCAGTTAAGTGAGTATCATAAAATCATTGAGAAATCAACGTAATGAAATTCTAAATGAAGGTTATGGGGTCTACTATTCTATTATTTTTTATTGAGTGAATATTGATTTTCTTCTAGGCAAAGAACCAGATCATCTCACAGAGGAAAAAAACTCTGTGTTGCAGACGACTCAGGAATTAGCTTTTTCAAACTACAAGACATTCATACAAACAGCTGAGAGTTCGCGAGAAATATTCCATCAGGTATTCACATTCTGTGGTCTCGAAAAATATTCAATAAGGAAATTCAATAAAATTGTTAAATTACATAATGAAAAAACCAATGCTAAAAAATAATTTCCATTTCAGTTCAATGAGACCGAAGGTCACCTGGACAATCTTTTGCTGAAAATCCCAAGATTCATAGAGAAATGCCAGTTATTCAGTGACAAATCAAAGGACATAAACTCCCACCGGCGGCTAAATACCCTTACCCTGAGAAAGACAGCAGAGATGTTGGAGATTCTGGAGATGCCACAGCTGATGGAGAGCTGCCTCCAGAGTAATCAGTACAACGAGGCTCTGGAGATATCCCAATACGCCCGACAATTGGGAGTGAAGCACAGCGACATTCCCATAATCCAGTTAATAGTATCATCCATTGAGAACAGCTGGTCTGGAATGGTTGGACAGGTGATTGGATCTCTGAGAGGTGACTTACCCCTCCCCAAGTGCCTCCAACTAGTTGGATTGCTGCGCTCCATGGACGCCTTCACCGAAGCAGAGTTACGAATAAAATTTCTGCAGGCAAGGGACGGCTGGCTCCAGGGCCTTCTCAACTCTATTCCAAAGGACGATCCCAACTTCCACCTCACCAAGACTATTGAACTCTCCAGGATCCATCTTTTTAATATAATCACGCAGTATCGTGCCATGTTCAACGACGACGACCACTCATCTACTCGAGATCCAGTTATCAACGAATCGGCGATATTCTATCACTGGTTGGAGGAGAAACTTTCACAATTCCTGGTAACCTTGGAGCAAGATCTCCCTGGGGTGTCCTCTATTGACTCCATCCTGGGCCAGTGCACATACTTCGGGCTATCCTTTGGGAGAGTTGGGGCTGATTTCACGAGTCGCATGTCTGATATATTTGTACGCGTCGTGGGGAGCAAGTTCCAGAGAAATGTCTACAAGACCACCAGGAGATTCGAAAAGGACGTGGAGACCTTCACTCTCATCAATAAATTGCACAGGATCGATGTCAAGGTGGATCTGCCAGCCAAATCTGAAAATCCTCCAGAGCAACTTGTGGACTTCTATCCCCTCGCCGAGTACTGCAATGGTCTCATCGCCACTTTCAATGAGTTGAGGGTCTGTCCACCTGTTGCTCTCGCCGAATACTGCACTCAGGTGCTGGAAGAATCTCTGCAGTGTGTGGCCAGGGGAATTTTGGTGTTCTACAAACAGGAGCAGCAGGCATTCACAGCGAGTGAACGAGAAAATATGATGAAATTTGCTGAGTGCTTCAGCGATCAGTTAATACCCTACATTCAGTATTGCATACATGCAATTTTTCCCCCGAATCAGATCGCGGTGCATCTGGATATTACTGTGGGTCAACTTCAGAAAGAGGGAATCACGTATTTGGATATTAAAAAAATTGTTGAGCCCTTGGCGACGTTATTACCATTGAAAAGCGTCGTGAAGGAGTCTTTCCTTTCAGCATTATCTGCAACCGAATCATCCAATGTCTCACAATCATCATCAGACGTAAATATTGTCGATAATTTGGAACCCCAGGACTCAGAATCTCCTGAGCTCCAGAATTACGACAATAATTTGAATATAGATGCATTAACTATCGACGAAAATATTAAATCGTAAAAAATCACTTGTACATACCGAATTATGAGGAAAAAAAGACGAATAAAATGGTTATACATTCGTAACTATAAGTGTATTATCTATCTTATTTATTTATTCGACGAAAAATGTCTCTCTCATACAACCAATGGATAACTGAACTATTCCAACATTTTTCTTTTTTGATTAACTATGATGGATAACAATATAAAAACTTGAAACAAATAACACCTCCAAACGAATATTCTAACAAATAGTCAATTGTTAACGAAATCATTTTCTCTCATTTATCCATTCAATCCCTCACTATTTTTTACAAAAATTTCCCTGAAGTTTATTTTTATGTGTTTAAAGTTCTCTTTTTATGTCACGAACGTCTAGATCTTGATTAAGTACATGACACTCTCCACCAGTGTCTGTACACGTGTTTATCAATTCCTCTGTATTTTTCAGAGATCTGGGGAAGAAACCAAGAGACGAGTATTAGAAATTTTCTGAATTTTTTTGAATCGTCCAAAATTTTCCGACTATTTTCCGACGAATTGAAATTTTTTTCAATCCATCAGTCTGTCAAATTTTCCAAACTCACTCAACATCTCGAATCCTATGTATACGATCCTCTGAATAATCCTCTGAATCCTGAATAGCTCTTTTGGTGACGAGGATTTCACCGGTGGTGGGGTCTAAAGAGAACACAACAGATCTATTCAATTTATAGTTTCTAATTTCCACTTGTTCAGCACGTGGCTCGACGTCTACTGCCTCCTGGAGATCTCTTACTCCATTTCTCTCCGGAATTTCTGTCTCCTCGCCATTGTACATTTTATTGATAGTTATCCTGAGTACCGGCTTCCTCTTGCACACCCCAGGTAGTTTCAGATTATTTGGTATTGACGGTTTGGGATTGTCCACCCTGGGGATGATGACGATGTAAGGAGTCTGCACAGCACTTGGTTCTGGCGTCGGGAGATCAGGATTTCGGGGAACATTTGGGTCAAGTTTTGGGAGAATTCTCCTGAATCTTCTGGAGCAGCAGGAAATCGGCACCAGAGTCTGTCCAACCTGGGGGAAAGGATGGATCACTCTTGGTGTAAATGTCATCGATGGCTGCATCACTGGAGATTATTCCCATTGAGCTTTTATTACACTTGAGACTTCATTAACTAATACCATTTCCTTCTGTCATTCTCGGGCATTAATCCCATTTCAGATGGTGATTTACCTTTCACACCACTGAATTCCTTTATTTTTCGGGATCAAGGGGAGATATACCAAATCACGATCACAATTGCACCAAATTCATGACAAAACACAAACAATAGTAATATTGCACACCTGGGTGTGTTTTCATTTTGCAAAATTGGCGACACTTTCGATATTGCATTTGAAACGAAAAATTTGCAGTGAAGTCCTTTGTTTTTCAGTATTATTCTAAAGTGTATTTCAAGTCTCACCCGGCCTTCTAGTTTTTTGTCGGTTAAATTGTTTATACAGAATTTTGCAATGTTCATTGAATTTCAAAGACTGAAGGGAGATCTTCCAGGAGGTTAGAACCACAGATTCCAAAGTTCATTGCTTACCATGATTGCAATGATCGCAAATGAACCTGTGCAATATTTTTTTAAAAAACAGTCAAAAATTTTTGGATATTTATTTTTAATCTTCAAATTTTCATGATTACAATCGCTGGAGCTCTAGCATCATGACAGTTACTGCATGCAATATTTTAAATAACCATTGGTCTTTTTTATAGCTCATTATTTACGTCTGAACAATTAATACCCAATACACCTAGCACTAAACAAATCGAAATAATCAAGACATCTGGCAGACCCTAGGAATAAAAATCAAACGATTGATTTCATCGGATTGAAAAAAATGGTCAAATTACACCCGGAAAATAATCAATTTAATTAATGAGATAGTCTTTTTTACAAAACATTATCTCTCTCGATGATTTAATAGTGATTTTTTAAAATATAAGTAATCTTTTATGACATATTTCCGTCAGTCATTATTCCTGCCAATCACTCGATACCATATCGATAATCTTCGGCTCTCGAAACAACAAATACACTTATTCATGTACATATCATTACAGAGTATTGGAAAGTCGAGCACATATACTCAAGAGTGATAAGGAAGTACGTAAAAATACGCATGTTGTGTACAGAATTATTTGGAATCATTGAGCGATCGAGTCTCCATCCAGAACCCACGAAATGGCAACTCTTTATTTTAAATTACTCAACTCCGCAGGTTTCAGAAATTTCGTAAGTGCACAAATTTAATTGTGAATACATTGTTCAATAATTTTTTTTGTAATTATTAATACTTCGCAGACGCGGGCCCTGAGTAATGCCACGGGAGAGCCTAAATTCTTGGGAATCAACGCAAAGTTCACAAGTGTTTTGAAATTCGTCAATAACGAGAGCTATGAACCGATACCGATCTACAGGATATTGTCATCACCAAATAGTCAAGTGTCGGATCCTGATCTCAAGGTATCACCAGCTCGTGAACTCCTCTAATGCGCTATTAATTATTCCACTGCCGAATTACATTTCCAACCATTTGGATGAATATTCAAATTTCTCAATTAAATATTTTTCGGTTCATTGAACTTTTTATTTTAGGAATAAAATTTTGTAATATTTTGTTCTTCATATAGATCGGCAATGAGTTGCTGTTAAAAATGTACGAATCTATGGTGAGGATTCGGACAATGGATAAAATTCTTTATGAATCTCAGAGACAAGGGCGTATCTCATTCTTCATGACGAACACCGGTGAAGAAGCAATTCAGATAGGTTCAGCTGCTGGGCTGACTCTTCAAGATGTTATTTACGCGCAGTACAGAGAAGCTGGTGAGGGTGCATGAAGTTTGCAAAAATTTAATCTGTATATTAGATACGACGTAATCAAGATAACGCTATTTGTTTTATACTTCTCTTGTACGACTTGCACATGTACTTCAAGTGATTCTCTTCGTTCATTTTGACGTGAGAAATTATTAATCCTCTGGTTTTCTAGGTGTTTTACTGTGGCGAGGATTCAAATACTCAGGGTTCATAAATCAATGCTACGGTAATCACGATGATTCGGGGAAAGGGAAGCAGATGCCGGTGCATTATGGATCGAAGGAGCTGAACTTCATGACTATTTCTTCCCCCCTCACCACACAGTTGCCTCAGGGTGCGTGAGCTCCTGATTTTTTTACCGAGTTTTCAATTATTTTTGAATTAATCCTTGCGTTTTAATTAAATCATTCAGCTGTGGGGGCAGCTTATGCCTTAAAAAGATCAAAGAAGGAAGCCTGTGTCGTGTGCTATTTCGGGGAAGGAGCAGCCAGTGAAGGGGATGCACATGCAGCTTTCAATTTTGCTGCCACTCTGGACTGTCCTATCATCTTCATTTGGTGAGTTTATCACTGAATTTATCGACTCGAATCATTCTGTTGCAAGGGAAATTTCAGTCTGACACCGTTCGATTTAAATAGTCATATGTATGTGTCAAATTTTTACATATTTACATATTTCCGTCATGAATTGGTAAACAGATACTTCATTTATTGAATATTTCAATATTTATATTAATTGAAAGTCTGTATTCATATCTACCAAATTATTTCTTAAATTTTTATAAAACAGGAAAATCTTACTGCCTGGGAGATTCAATATTGCATTCAAAATTAATTTTATTTCGTGTTGCTTGCAGTCGGAATAACGGATATGCAATTTCTACGTCGTCCCTGGAGCAATATAAGGGTGACGGGATAGCAGCGAGAGGTCCAGCGTATGGAATAAATACAATTAGAGTTGATGGTAATGACATATTTGCGATGTATCATGTCACACGAGTGGCTCGAGACTTCTGCATAAAACATCGAAAGCCCGTTCTCATCGAAGCCATGAGCTACAGGTACAGAAAAAGGGACTGCTCCTTGCATTTTTTGAAATAACTAAATTGCATTTTTTCCGTCAAACTGTCGATTTCCTGCGAAATTTAATTTATTCCACAGAGTGGGACATCACAGCACGTCTGATGACAGCACAGTCTATCGTGCGAAGGACGAAATTGAGAACTGGAATAAAGAGTCTCCAGTGCTGAAACTTCGTCAGTACCTGGAGAATCTCCAACTCTGGAATGACGAACAAGAGAAAAAGCTTGAGGTCTCGCTGAGGAAAGAGTTTCTGAGGGAGTTCGAGGAGGCGGAGAAAAAACTCAAGCCGAAGTGGAATGAACTGTTCACTGATGTCTATCAGGACATGCCCGATCACATCAAGTACATTTCTTAATTACAGATTAATCTCTGAAACTACTAATTTAACGAGAAAACATTGCAGAAATTTTTCATAGCCAATTCAATTTTTCACAAAAAATGTCTCTTGATATTTTCGGGTAAAATCAATAATTTTCTCGGATGAATCGATATTTAGACAAATTATGAAATTGGTTGTAATGCTGGTATTAATTTGCTCTTTTTGTTTTACCTTAGGCGACAAAAGATGTTGATGGAGCGTCATGTAGAGGAGTACCAGGAGCACTATCCTATGAAAGAATTCCAGACCTCATAACTTTTTTACACCTTTATTTCCTTATAAATAAATCTAACAAATTTGGTACGATACTACGTCTTATTTCGTGAGATTTTCTGCCATCTCTTGGTACTTTTGAAGCCTCGCCTCTTTCCTCACTTCGTCCAATAGGACGTTATGGAGGAGCTTCTTCTCGAATGGATTGGGCTGCTCTAGGCCAGGGTATGGATTTCCTGCGACAGAAAAACCCCTCATTTGATTTATAAGGAATAATTCACGTCTATTGATGAGAGTGTGATGAAAAAATCAATGATTTTTCTGAAGTGAATATACTTCAGATAAATAAGTGTCTAAAATATTTATCTTAAATCATGACGAACCTCTCAGCTCCAGGACTGCCTTTCTGTACCAATACCCAGGGTAATCCCTCTGTATTTTATGCATCTTCGTGTATGAAGATGTGTAATCTTGATACCTTGGAGCCAGTACTTTGAAGAGCTTGTGAACGAGTTGTTTCTCGAGAATGTAGAAGTCTGCTAGCTCCATTGTCTCCTTGTGTGCAGGGCCATGGCGAATAGCCTCAGAAATCAACTAAACAAAAACGAAGTCATCTTAATTTTATCAGAGTATATGACGAAAAAAAAATCGGTATATAAAATATGAATAACGGAGGGTCATCAAAAAATGAATGCCAATAATTGAAAGCTAATAGAATTTGTCAACAAAGTGAAAAAATAAAACATACACGATCGGCATAACCTCGAACTTCATCTGCACGATTCCAATACAACTCAATCCTCTCGTACTTCAATAATGCAGTTAATGTTTTCTGAATTTTTCGAATTCTGCCTTCGAGACCATCTGAATTCCTCAGTGTTCGGTACTTTGGTTGAACATTAAACCGTAATTTTGACACTAAGTTATTTACATTCGCTTGATTCATTTTTGTAAAATCCCTCGCACCCCTCACACATAAAAATCGTTTCTAACCTCTCACTTTCAGGCCCACAATTATCATTTGTCGGTACAGGGATTTAAACTACTCCCCACCCACCACCACCAAATATCAAATAATTTTTATTCTTCTGATCAAATAAAAAAAAACATGTCTTCTCATTTATTACTGAGAAAGGCTGCCGTCAGTGGAATTTATTCTCCTGTCTATAATTACTTTTTGCAGACTTGATGGCCATTACTGCCTCCATGTACTGTCATGGATTGTTATGAGACACCGGCTAAGGTATATTTCCATCTCCTTGTGCCTATCAGTTCCACGTCCTAGAATTCTTTTACAATGTCCCGAGTTTTTCTGGAGATATGACAATTTTGTAAAATGCCTCAGGCGAACGCAGACGTGGATTTCTGGAAGATAACAAATAGAAATACGCGATAATTTTGGTGTGATAGTAGGCAGAGTACGAAAAGGTTATAAACTATTTTTTTTACTTCAGATGATAGTCAGGTCGCACTCTTTCAGATTTTGGATGTTCGTAAAAAAAATTTTTTTATCTTCTTTTCCTAAAACTAGTAATATCTCACACGAATTTTTGAGGCGACAGTTTCGACAAAAAATTGGAAGAATTTACGACTTGATTTCCACGAGATTTATGTGAGGGTAATTTATTTACCATATTTCTTTGGGTTACACATGATTATATTGCAGATATCCAGGATGATAAAGACTCCGGTGTCAATTCTACAGGAGATGATGGTGAAGAAGGGATCAGTACCTAATTACGAGCTTATTCATGACGGTGGAGGCTCCCACGAGAACACATTCACTTACAGAGTCACTTGTGAGGGACTGTTGGCCACGGGAACGGGGAGATGTAAAAAGGATGCTAAGCATGCAGCTGCTAGTAATATGTTGGAAGCTATTGTTAAACATAATGGACTACTGCCTCTGCCAGCGAGTCCTGCCAAATCCCCTGTCAGAGCCCCACCACCACAGCCCAAACCTGAGCCCTACCTTCAGGATCTCAATGGGCCATTTGTCAATGCCATCGGAGCATTGCAGGTGAGACAGGGAATTTTGATTTCCCTGAAAAATCAATTGAGAAATTAATCGACGCATTCGGTTATTGCATTTTGCTGTTTTGCTATTTTCTTTCGTTTGATTTCAGGACTTGTGTGCAGACAATGACCTCCAAGGACCAGTTTATAATACGACAAGTGACGTCGGTCCACCCCACGCCCGAGTATTTACAATTGAATGTGCAGTGGCGAGTTTTAAGGAAGAAGGAGTATCAACAACGAAAAAACAGGCGAAACATCTGGCGGCGAAGAAGATGTTGCAGCGTATCTCCGACGTGTTGGACGACGCCAGCAAGTCGAGTATTTCCTTCTTGAAGATGGTTAAACCATCAGAGCTTGAGGCCAACGAGCGTGCCAAAAAAATCTTCCTCGAGCAGAAAGCTCTCCTCCCGAAGAAGGTTAATCTGGGGGTGAAACTGGCAGATTATCCCAACAGATTACGATCGATTTATGCCGAGGATGTGAGAAAAAATACTTGTGAGAAATTAAACGAGTTGGCGAGTTCATTTTCGGATTTGTTGAGGGATTGTGGCGATGTGGAGGATACTCCGAGGTGTGCGGCCTTGAAGGAGTCATTCGAGGAGTTATTGAAGCCCTTGAACATTGATGTGTGTGAAGGGGTTATCAACAATCGCTTCCAAGTGGTGTCATTGGATACGACTCCTGAAATCGTTGAGAGCTACTGGGGAGACGAACCTATGTGGAAAGTCCAGATGAACGTTTACTTGAGGATAATCAAACACCTGAAGATGCTACTCTCGTAATTGTCTGCACTGTGATAGAGTCACCATTATTTTCTGTTTTTACATAGAATATAACATATATATGCTGCATATACGAGTCTTCATGACCATTTACTAATGACGATCTATTATGAGAACCTCGGCTTACCCATGAAGTTGAAGCTTCGAGTCAATACCACGTACTATAACATGAGCTCATAAGTTTCATTTCACGTGTTATCCTGATAAGTTTAATAAAAATAATTCTAATTTTCTGAATGACCATCTAGTTCTCTATTTGATGTCACACAAAAGAGCAACACCTCGAAGTGTCCAGTGTCGAGGATTGTGATCTGTCTCGAAGTCAATCGATCCCACATACTTCAGATCCGTTCTTTGGGGTTTTCTGTATATCGGGCATTCGTACAACTTTGGATCTTTACCAGCAGTTGTGTTGATAGCGTAGATGTAAATGACAGGCATTTGTTCGTATAGGACTTTGGCTTTGCTCTCCACCAATTTCCCTGACTTTCGATCGAGTGATGCACCCTCCAGGAAGAGACCGTGAACATAAACACCCTCTTGCACCTGCTCCCTGATGTCCTCCCGGTTGTATCGAGTTATGAGATTTTGAAGGACCACTGAGTCCAGGGCCCAACCCTTGTGTGCCCGCGTCACCTCCTGCCTCATGGCTGTCAGGAAGCCCTGGCAATTGAAAAAGCCCGTCATCCAGAAGACATTTGGTCTCCCATGATTGCACCAGTGTCTGAACTGTGCATCTCTCTCCAGGAGTTCTGTGTACCAGAAACCGAGGGTTGCTGATTCCCACGATATTTTCTGCCACTTCTCGGGTATTCGTGCGTCGTACATCGAGTCTAGGGATTTTTTTAAACCCTGGGACATCACGATCGTACCGTCAATTGCTAATTTTAGATCTGTCAGGGTGGAGTGAACTTCGGCTATCACTCGTCTCATTCTGTCCACTTCCTGTCGTAAAAATATATTCATCGGCAAGAGAGCTCCCATCCTCTGTAGGGCGTCCCTCACGTCGAAGGGATTGTACTGTTTCGGCAATTTTCCCAGCATATCGTCTGCCAATCTGTAGACAACACTCTCCCTCGTTTCTCCACCCTGGGAGCCCCCCTCCTTGGGCTGAACATTGAGAATAGTATCCAGGATGCCCTTCGCTGTATTTATCTGATAAGTGATATCAGCATTTGAGTGGAGACCGAACACTTCAGGAGTATCAGTTGCAGGTAAATTATTTATGTACTCCATGTACCCCTGGATGATTCGAGTCTGGGGTACTTTGTATCCCTTGTAAAATTCGAAACCTGGACGCAGCAGAACGTCGCAGAACCAGACGTGGGTGAAGGTTGTCAGGAGACGTTTATCGAAATCGTCAGTGACTCTTCCACCATATTGCACCTCGCCAAGCATGTAGCAAACAGTAGGCCATGAAACACCCTTTTTTGGGTCCATGTCATCAAGATGATTCTGAATGAATTGAACAGAAGCTGCAAAATCCGCCTGATTGAATTCATAAGGTATATTCCACCCGAGTGGCCCGAATTTCCTCCTCTCCTGGACGACAGTATGAAGAAAAGCGACAGCATAAAGAAGTGGTGGCCACTGGGACTGAGTACTGTAATCAAGGATATCCTGAGTGACGCCCTGATAAGTCCTCTTCAAGGAGGCACGTATGCCCTGCGGTGGTTCGTTAGTGAATTTAATAGCCATCTGAAGAAGCCCAATGGGAAATTGGGGGTGCACTTCGGTGGTAAGCCAAAGTCTGAATGTCTCGTGAATGTTGTCAGCCTCGACGAGGGTCTCCATGGCCTCAGTGCAGAATGGTAGAGACAAATGAGTATTCTGGAGGAGTACCCAGCCCCCAGTGCTCATGGCGTCATTGATGAGTTTCCTGGCGATTACCTCCTGCCCCTGTCCCATGGAAACAGCTCTCAACGACAGGGACTTGCCCTTGGCCAGGGCTGTGATGGAGGGGCTGGGGTCAGATCCAATGGACAGAATGCAAATGAGAGGTGTTTCTGGCTCAGACTCAGCCCAAGTGGCATCGAGATCGAGGATCTTTGCCTCTCCGTACTCCCTTCCCAGTGATTCCACGATGTACCTCTTCGCTTGGGACAGGGTTCTGTCGGGACTCCAGGATCTGATCAGCAGGAGTTTCCTGAAGACATCCAAACTCTTCTGGTATCCACAAGGTAACTCCTCCTCCTCTGGTCTCTCCTTCTCGTACCACTGTCTCCACTCCCTCTCGGAGAACTCGATCTTTGTTAGGATCTCGGAGAAGACCTCCAGTTTACTGATCTCAACGAGATTCAGCCAGGTAATGTCCAGGATCCAACGAAAGGGCTTGGGTGCCACTGCATTGAGATCCAGGGAGGCACCTCCCTTGATGAACGCCATGAACTCTGCATGGGATATCGCACCTCGATGGCAATCAATCTTCATAGCCAGCATCAGGGTAAACAATGACTTGTGGCGCTCGTAAAGACTTCTCAATGTAAAACCCCAAACTTCGTACGTCAAGTGCCCCAGGATAATATCAATCCTCTCCGACGTTATATTACTCTTCGTTGATTTAGTGATGGAGTTATCGAATATCGTGAGGAATTGCTTGAGTGAGTTTTGGTACATGACGTTTACATTGCTCATCTCGACGATGAGAAAATAGAGGATCGAGCCTCTGGCTGCCACAGCCCTGAACTCCTCCCTGGCAATTGTGATTTTTTTCTCCGTGAGGGCAGCAACTTGGAGCTTTTCATTGACAGATTCAGCTGTTGATTTTGTTTCCCTGAGTACTCCAATGAGTGCCTCGTCATCGACGAGAGAGCCCTCCGAGGATGTCAGTCTGTGCAACAAAGTGCTCTCTAAATCCTTCATCGATCTCTGATTTGTCATCACTGACTCGAACAATGCGACACGTTCGGCCTCGAGCTCAGATTTCTCCATGAGGATTACTCGCCCCAGGAGTTGATCCTCTAGTCCCTGCATTGTCACTGTAAAATCGATTATCGATGTTTTTGCTGAGGTCTCAGGACTGTAAGCAGGATTTGGTAGTTTTGTAGTGATGTACAGCATAAATCCAGGCATCACGTCGCACTCCTTATCACCAACGATGACCTTCTCGATGGATCCGGACTTGATGAAATTCTTCTCGAGGACATTATCGATGACTGGGTCGAGTTCTTCATTAATATCTTCAATAAGAAGAGGTCTTCCTAATGACAGACTGTCCTCCAGATGGGCCCTAAAATACTTGTGATTGAGGGACGTTATCTGTAGTTCATTGGACATCTCCTTATTCTTTATCCACATCTTCCCCTGGGTCTGGGGATCGACGAGGAGAGGATACGAGGATGACTTAGTGACGATCAGGGCATTCTGAACTGACAACTCGTCGTTGGGTAGCCCCTGGAGTGTCCACTCTGATATTGTCGAGGTATCTACCAACATACTGATGATATTCAGATCTTTAGTGAAAGGAATCGCCCTCGTCGTCAGGATAGTCATCCAGCAGTTGACAAGACGTGATCGATACTGTTGATTATAAGGTCCACAGTATGATAGAAATCCAGTGGCCAGAAGAACATCACCCACAAGTTTTCCCAATTGAATCTTAAATTCTCCACTCTGCTCAGTCCACCTGATTTTCTCACCGCCGAGGCCATTTATCAGGGCAGTGGCAGCTGTCATCTTTCTCAGGCACACATTGGCAGCATCTGTGAGTCGTTGTTTCTCAGATACAGCTGCATCGTACTGCGCCTTCACACCCTGGAGTGCCATTTCCCTCTCGGATAGTTCTCTTTCCGCTCCAGCGAGATCCTCCATCGCCACTTTGAGCCTAGCTTCCTGCATTGTGAGATTAGCCTTGAGAGGTAGAACCTCTTTATTGACAGAGTGAAAGAATGCCATTGCCTTAGTCCACGAGAGGAGACCAGCCACATCTCCACAGACTCGTCTAGCTGTTTCCATGTTGTAGTCCTCCATTTTAAAGTACGGCTGTAGCAACTCAACCATTTCATTGTTGATTATGTCCTTGGGGTAGTTCTGGAGTTGAAGGAGAAAGGTGGTGCTTGCCATCATCTTCAGGGATTCAGCCCAGGAGGGCTTTGGACACATAGCTGTAGCGTCTGGTATCACCAGGCTTATTTTTCTTTGAAAGAGGATCAGAACGCAATCCATGATTCTCATTATGAGGTGGGGTGGTCTTCCCAATTTTCTCACTGTTGCTATGTGGGCTGGTTTGATGGTGTTCAGGGCGGCCTCTGCCTCTTCGAGGGCTGGTTTAGCAGCCTCCAGTTTCTGCTCGGCCAAAGCCTTCTCCTCGGCGATGTTTGCCACCAGGGCCTCAGCCTTTTCCTTTACCTTTTGAACTTGATTTTTAAAAGATTCAGCTTGAGTCGCTCTCTCTGTCACCTCCAGTAGAACGGTCTCTGCTTTTTCAGAGGCTGTTACCAACTCCTGCTCCATAACAGCCAGGTCTCGTTTCAATAGCTCAACTGATATCGATGCCTCCTCCAGCTTTGCTAAACCTGTATCCATCCTTCGTGCCCCCTCTCCCAGCTCGTGCTGCTTGGCGCGATAAATATTTTTATATCCTCCTATGAAATTCAAGTACGACTTTGGCGTGACATGAGTGGCTCTTCTGAATCTCTGGAAATACTCAGAAGACGTCTCTGAAACAACATCCTGAATCGATCCAAGAGCTGTCACCAGTTGTTTCTTAACTTCCGGACTGCAGGCAATTTCAAAGTCATGGAGAAAGTGATCGGCAACTAGAACGAGGGCATCACGAGGCCACGGCTGGAACCAATCGATGGTGCAGCCGGATATCAGAGCTGGAAATCTCTGGGCTCGATTTCTAAATTTTTCCCCAACTGGTGAAAAGCAGAAGACCACGTGAAGATTTTGACAGGTCCTCTGCAGGAAATACTCCATGACGAGTTCATTGTTGAGAGTTCTCTTTGGATTTTCTCGTTTCATTATGGGAGTCAATTCCTGAATTATCTCTGTCTGCTCGTCCCTCGTGAAAAGATTACTGATTACTCCAGAGCTTAAGATATTGTTCAAATACTCCAGGAATCCCTCCTCCTTGATATCCAGATCTGTGAAAATAAAGGTGGTACCTTTGCCCTGGCCACCGCAGGATCGGTAGAGGAACTTTAAATCCTCGAGAAAATTAGTTACATTGTAGGATCGTGTGAGAGTTATCTGAAAGGTTTTGTACCCTGCGATAAACGACGATAATTTGGTCAGACTCTGTTTACCTGAGCCACCAACACCTACAAGCATCACATTCCCTCGAGGATGTCTGATAACTCGTGAGACTTTCACCAGGTGCAGCATTGCATCTGGGAAGAACACTAGATCCATGCCAGCACCCCTCTGCATCTCATTGAACTGCGCGAGGAACATCTCAAGCCGGTCCCGAAGTGTCTGATCATCGAAGACTGGTTCGTACACCTTGGGGAGCTCCATGTCTGCGTCCTCGCCCTCCTCTCCAGTTGGTTCAGGAGCATCTCTCATGAAATCGACAAATGCTGGATTCTTTCCCATCATCTCTGTGTACTGCTCCCCCAGGAACTCCACGACGATGTCGTTCACCTCCTGATCAAACCAGTTCTTGTCACTCTGGATCGTGAATCGATCGCTGAAGACTCGACTGCACTCGTGTCTCCAGAGGAGCATCAGGTGACTCTCTCTCTCGATTACTGTCGACAGAGTTCCAATCATTCCCTGCCAGATCCTCGATAAATCCCGGAGATTGAACACATAGTGGAATTTAGCAGGGGTTGGTAGTAATTTGGCACGCGTTCTCTGCCAGAGTAGTCTAGTCAGGGGTATCATCTTTTTAATTAACATTCTGACTTCCGTCGAGAATCCTCGCTTTGCGTTGTAATGGCCCTCTCCCAGGACCCCGAATATCTTGTCAATGGAGGCATCATTGGGAAGAGTGCAATTAAATATGCAGAACTGTCTCTTCAACCTGAATTCAAATGAAAAAGTTCGTTTGAATAATGAAAAAAAAATATGAACGACGTCATAATTTACCTCGAAGGAATGTCATTCCTCCCACCCCCAGGCTGACCCATAGCCCCGAGAAACGTCACATCAACGATCGTCGTGAAGTCCCCTGGTTTCTCCAGGGAGTAAAACCCCTTCATATCCATCGTCTGACGAACAATTTCATTGGTGATCTGATCACCCCACTCGTTGATCTCAGGGAGATTAATATCGTCCACAAAAATGAGCATCTTCTTTCCCCCAGGTGGACCAAACGTGTTTCCCATTCTTTTCTCTACATAACTCTCGATGGTCTTCTGGAACTGATAGGGAGTCGTTGCAGAGCTGAAGTTGAAGGATCTCCCCAATGTCGTATCAGGATTGGTCCCCTTCATGTATGACTTCATCATGACAGTCTTGGCAGATCCCTGCTCACCAATTAACAAAACTGCCCTGTCCTTCTTCCCAATCATGTCAATGAGATACTGAATTCTCACATTATCAACAATTGGCACGAGTATGCTGCTGTAATCGGGTGTTGCATAATCAGGATACGTGTAATTAGTGACTAGAGTGGTCCAAGTGTCCCACTTTCCCTTGTCGTTAACGTAAAAATCGAAGAGCCCAGCCTCTGGATACTTCTCCGACTTGGGAAGATCGAGAGTTCCAAAGTGATCGTTCATGTACTCATCGAACTTGAGTCGATCCGAAGTTTCCAGTAGAGCCCCAATTCCCCATATCAGTGCAAAAATGTAGAGTCGTTTGAGTCGTTCAGCTGTCATGGGCTGGGGCTTGTCCTTCTCGTCGTCGTCATCGTCAATCTCTTCAGGAGGTACCTCAGGTGGCACCAGTCCCTCCAGGAGGCACAGCATTTGCCTGACGATATTAGTCTGCAGTACTTCAATCGTGAGGACTAGGGTCTGTGTGCACCACGTGTAAATCTGTAAAAATGACTCGTCGAAAGCTTTATCCAAGACTCCGTGCTCCAGGGGAGTCCTATTCTTCAACCAGGCTGTGACCACAGGTCTCCAGTCGAGCCCTGACGAGCTCATGTAAACCATTCCATTTCTGAAATTAGAATTTTTACGTATTTATTCCGACTCATTTTTCTTTTTACGATTATTATTATTGTTAATTAATAAATTATTAATGTCGATAAATTGTACCGGGAAACAGTAGCAGGACTGGCATTATCGATGTTGTGTGGTTCAAATATAATTTTGCAAGTGGGAGCCATGGACAGACGATCGCCATTAGCTAGAGTAAGTGTCTTATTGTCATCGAGAACGGAATTCAAATTCTCAATCCATATGCTATCGACTGGGCCATCAAGCACGAGCCAAACGTGTTCATCCTTTTTGAGTTTCAGAGTTTTTCTCCACAGAGCTGAGAATATACCATCCGTCCAGTCATTGGTAGCAACATCCAGGCGTCCAAACATCTGGGCTGCAGTAATGCTCTTCGGATTCATTCGCATCTCTCGGTGATAAGCCCCCATCTGTGTGAGTGCCTTCATCAGGGTGTGAATGCACGTGGTTTTACCAGCACCCTCTGGTCCCAGGGTCATTATCCCATGGCGGACCCTCTGGGTCTCGTACAGCTGAATCAGCTTTAACACCCAGGGTGGATGATACACCAGTCCCTCCTCCTGCACCTGACTGTCAATAGCAGATTCCAATTCTGGATACGATGTTTTCTCCAGTGCCTGATTGGGAAACAGATCAGCTACCAGAGATATGAAAAGTGGCTCGTCCTCGTCGATGAGTTTTGAGAGATTCATGTCTCTGAGGACTCTCATAACTATTGTACTCTCTGTGTCTTTGCTGTTGACTCTCTTTGCAGCTCCCAGGGTTCTCAACACCGACAGAATATTCCTCAACCTGTGAGAATTATTATTGATATAAAACAATCAAATGACCAAAACGACTAAATAAATAATGACAAACCCAAAATCGTAGTGGACCTGCTTGGTGAGCTGCTCCTCGCACAATTTGTAAAGTGTATAGAATTTCCTGGCAAGAGTGATGTTCTCGAGGAAGCCACAGCTGGCGAGTTTGACTCGAATAATTATCTGTCGATCTGGCACCATCATGGCAACAGTTCGAAACTGTATCTTGAGGTTCTCCGGTAGTTCTTTCCTCCCAGCATAACCCGGGTTCATCGTGATGAATATTCCAAGCTCCGGGCACATCTCGATCTGGTCCCCATCAGTAAATATAAATTGCTTCTTCTTCTCCTTCTTGGCAGCGAGAACAACAGCCACTTGTTGTGCAGCCACTGACAGAACAGGAAGTTCTATCCTATTGAACTCGTCGAAGCAGCCCCAGCTGCCGCTCTGCGCCAAACCCTTGTATATTCGTCCTAGCCCTCGATAATCCATCTGATCAGAGCAGTTGAAGACCACAACGTACTTAGCGAGAGTCTTCCCCATGTCCTTGACAGTCTCAGTCTTTCCAGTGCCAGCTGGACCACAGGGAGATCCCCCCATGGACATCGAGAGAGCCTGTGCCAGGGTAATGTAACACCTAGACGAAGATATCAATTATTTATTAACATTCAAGAAAAATTTAAATAATTTAACACCTGTCAGTCAATGGTGTGATAACGAGACGCTCGGTGCACCCCAAGTACTCGTTCTGATAAATAAACTGTACATCAGTTATGTGAATATTCGTTTTATCGAGATCCTCTTTGAAGTAGAATCTACACTGCTTGAGCCACTCAAAATCCGTCACAGTCCTGACATTGAGTCGACACATGGAATCAAATATATCTCTCTGGTGGACGTGAATCGTGATGAGTGTCTCGAATTTAGTCCTCTCGATTTTTGTCAAATCCCTGGTTGTCTGATCGATGAGAGTATTGAGTAATTCGAGAAAACGATTGTTGGTTTCACCCATGATTTTCTTATCAGCACGTGCCTGCATCAAGGCAACTTCTGCATCTCTCGTCCATATCATCTGTATCCCCAGGAGTCCGACCTGTGCAGCCATTTTCTCGAGGAATGAGAGGAGATTGAAGTTCTGGTCGTTCATCATGAGATTGGCTTGACGAATTATCGAGTGGAGGGATTGCTGAGAGGTCTGCAGAAGCTGCATAAGCCAAGTCTCGACTGAACCCTCAGCCCTGACAGCCCTCTCAAGGACAATTATCTCACCCTCCGATGAAACTATCGCTGTCATCTTGTTGTACTCGATGTCGTGAAACTTGACGAATCGAGTATTATCGAATATCGAGAGTAGATGATTCTGAATGGTGTGAGAGTCCGAGGCTTGTCCCAGGATCTCAAGGAGGGCTGGGTCTGATACGAAGAAGAACCGAGGGAACATCATTCGTTTTTTCTCCAGGTAACCACTGAGGGACTTCTGGCAGAGCTCCAGCTGCTCCTGGAGGTGTGGTAGAAGCTGCTTGAGGAGGTCATCTCCCACGCAGCAGGGAACGACGCCCGGGGTCTCGTGGGCTCGTTGCATTATTTTCTGCCAGCTCTTGTCAATTTTACTGAATCTCTTCGCTTCCTTTGGTAGTTGTTTGGCAATATCCCCACCGACAAACACGGCCTCCAGATAAACCCACATATTCTGGACGAGAAGCCAACGCTCCAGGATTTCATTTGTGTTGGACAAGTCCGAGAGCCACTGCTGAATTTGCTTTTTGAAGGGTGCGTTGTAACGATTTGACATGAGTGAACCCAGAACCATCAGGCTATCCTCAAGCTGGCCAATTGTTTCAGCTGTCGTGTCACCTCGAAGGAGAAGTTCTCCTCGGTTGTTGAATGTCATGAAGGTCAACTCATGGGATGACCACTCGTTCACTACCTGTTAATTCATTATTAAAATTGAATAATTAATTTTTTTAATTCCTAAAAGGGAGGAGTCTGGACTCGATTGGATTGCAACACTACCTGTCGCAATTTAGCTTCAATGTCTTTCTCCTTCATCGCCGAGATGCAGATGTCCTCGATGTCCTCCTTGTACTTAAGCAGAGGCGCTTCCAGAATATTCTTCAGACAAAATCCCTCGCTCTCGAGGTCAAAGGTGTGCCCTGTTACCTCGACAATTCTCTGCCAGTGGCGAGGCTTCATCGCTTTGTTCGCCATGAGCTCCAGCAGTGGACACATGTCGTTGAAGTCATCAATGGTCTTCTTCAGGGCGAAGAACGCTGGCCATTCCTTCAGGCCTTTTGGCAGCTTCCTGCAACGATTCTGGAACTCCATCAGCTCGTTGTTGATCTCCTCGATATTTACCTGGAGAGCCAGAGAGCCACGAGATTTTATTAATTTTCTCGATTTCTCATTGAAATGAATAACGAATGAACAATTAATGATTGACGAATATTAATCACCTCGCCCCAGGGTATATCGTAGTAACTGCTGACCCTGTCGATAACATCATTATATAACTTATAGAGCTTCTGCAGCAGATTAAGCTCCTTTCGGATCTGCGAGAGCTCAGGATAATCAGTGATCGGTAATCCAAAGAGCTCCTCTCCACTCTGGTATGCCTGAAGTTTTCTCCACATGCCATCAAATCGATTCTGGAAGAGAATCTGGCGATCTGATGCCTCCCTTGGAGTAAGTCCAGTCTGCATGGGTCCACTTGTTCTGTATTCCTCGCAGTAAGCCTCATTATCAATCCTGAACTTGTCCAAATTCGTCCTCAATTCCTCCTCAAACTGGGGCTGAAGTTGCAACAAAAGAACGTGACTCTGGTGTGCCCTCGCCAATATCTTTCCCCAGGACTCCCTCAATGTCTCCACCATCTCCAGACATTCCTGATCAACAGGCACCTCGTAACGAGTGACAATGTTGAATGCCTCCTCGATGGGATCAATTCTCAGCTCCATATCCACCTCTTGCTCCCTGATTTTCTTCAGAGTATCCATTATCAGTCTCACATCATCCAAATCACGAATCTGACGCTCCAATTTTCTATCCATCTCGTTCATAACTGCGTACACGTACTCCATCTCTCTTCGGTACTTTTTCTTCATCACTTGACCTATTTTGTGAGTGGAATCTGCAAATTACGAAGGGATGAGAGTAACTAAATCATAAATGAATGAAATTCGATCTTTAATTTTTTAAAATTTTCCTATATTTCAACAATAATATATATATAATGCCGTTTAAATAATAGAATAATGATTGAATGCAATATTTACTTTTAATCTCCGTAGACAAACCAAATTTAAGTTTCTCAGTATGCAAGGCAATGGGAGCCCCGAGATACGCCATATCAGCCTCAGTAGCGAGTTTATCCTCGAGTTCGCTGTGTTTCCTCAGGGTGATCTCAAATTCGGACAGTGAAACGTTAAGAAGTTCTCGCATACTGCGTTCATTCTTCCAAAGATATTTATAAGGTGTCCACATCTCCAAAAACTCCGTCAAATTCTGTCTCAACTCCTGGGTACAAGAGCTCAACATCGATAACACCTTGATGACCTCCTTATTCTCCATGACAAGACTGTGAAAATTTCTCTGCTGAATGGGAAAGCTAGGGCGCTCCTCCGAGATTATTTTAAATAATCTCCTCCTCCTGACTTTGGGATCCTCGGGCTCCTCGTCGCGTCTTCTTTCCGCATGCACCTGAGCTCTCATAACGACATCCATGAGATTTTTCTTCGGTGCCCAGGGTGCCCCTTTCCAGTTGCTCTTGTGGCCACCTGCACTCCACTGGGCAACACCCTTTGATACCCCAGCAATAGCTTTACCAGCGACAGTGAGGGTCTCCTGGACCTCCTCTAAACTGGGTTTCACCACCACCGATGGAATCATGAGGGTTGCATGCAGAAGGAATACGGGACGCGGTGGTACCTCTGGATTTATATCCCTCACAAATCTACGTCTTATAGCATCCAGAGAGCTCCTCGTTACTTTTATCAGAACATCAACGACTTTTCTCGAGTAATATCTTCTCATCTCGGAGACGGCATTTTTCACCATCTCCTGCATATTCTTTGAGAGACCACCACCAGTAGCAGTGAGTAACTGATGTGGATCATCGAAACATGCCCACACAACAGTCCAATCCTGCTGCTGTTGAGATCCATCTTCATTACCCTCTTGGCTCGGGCCGTCGCTATTAGCTAATTCAAAATTATCCGCATCTCCGGTATTTTTGAAACTGTCAGCTGCATTTTTCACCAGCTGGAGAACTTCCTCCACAGCTTCTTCTACCATCTGACTCCGTCTGTCAACAATTTTTTCTCAATAAACAATTCATAATATATTATTTATGTTATGATTGTTATATTCATATTTTGAAAAAATCATTGTGGGGCACAAAATGGTGGCATTTTTGGTACAATTGGATTTTTCAAAAGGGGAATTCCCTTTTTTATTACTTCAAGAGGATTTATCACCTGTGAAGATCGATCGCTGCCACTCTGCATGCCTCTTCAGTCTTCTCCAAGAATTCCTCGATGCACCAGGGCTCATCCCCTTGTAGAGCATGTAGTGTGATCTTCTGCATGCTGACGAGAACTTGAAGAATTCTATTCGCGTAGACATCGTGGACTCTCGTTATGAGGACATCGAAAGTTCCGATCTCCTGTCTGCACTGATGACAGAAATCCTCCCATCCTGGTTTTGTCCACGTAAGAGTCTTCAATCCCGGCACTAAGAGTGATGCCACACGCACCAGGTGAGGCAGCAGCAGTGGTCTCACCTCGAGTTTAACTCTTCTTGCTGTCGATACAAAATCCTCGATCACCAGCTGCAGCGAGTCGTGCTTCAGGGTGAAGTGATCTCGCTTCACTAAAATAGTCTTCGCCACGATGGGAATTTCCAGCTTCATCTTCGCCAGGCAATCGGCTTCACGGAGAAGCAGGATGATCCTCCCTTCGAGGTTCACCTTGGAGGGAATGAAAAAAATATTGAAAAGAATTTAAATTAACGAGTAATTTTATTGTGATTTTATCACATGTCAATTCCATTACTTTTATGCAATAATTTTATTCGATATGTGATACAAAAAAATCAGCAGACTTCAGCCAATAATTTCAATGAAAAAAATTTCAAGAGGAAATCAGGATATAATTTGAAATAAATACACCATTAATTAATTACTCTGGATTTTAAATATATAATTTTAATGAAAATTTTCTCTCTAATAGTTTCCCTGGACCGAAAATACAATGACAACCTTGATTTTGTTCATCTCCTTGTCGATAGCGAGAAGATTTTTCTTGAGGCAGTCCTCGATGACCCACGAGTTCTGATGAGTCCACACTTCAGCGATATCCGTCTGATACTGAAGTAGAATAGTAACCGCATGATTGTACCGCCTGACAAGATCAGCAGTGAGAGGGAGAGTCCTGAGTACAGGATGTCCAGAAACCGAATTAGCAAGTTCATCCAAATGAACTTTGAGGGAGTTAGCCCACGTGAGCCGACCAGCAATGGGTGGCAAATGCCTAGACAGGGGTGGATCGTCCCTCTGCTTCTTGAATAACTTGAGGGTTCTCTCTACCTCTTTATCACAGTATCTCACGACGAGTGAATACTTCTCATCGAGTTTCGTCAGAGGGATTTTTTTGCTGACCTTTTCGAACCTGGTGAGAAAGCGAATGCCCTGGGGTGTCTCCCATACATCCGTATAGTTCTTCTCGATGATGTCCCCCACGTGTGCCTTGAGGGCGTCAGTCTTAGCCATGAAGACATCATAATCCCGATCAAAATCGGTGTTCCTGGGGTCAAGGTAATCGTAAGACTTGCCAGTCGCAATTTTTTTGGAATCCTCAAAGGCATGTGTTGCCTCATCCAAAGCCTCCCCCAGGAGTAGACCCTCCATCCTCCTCTCAAACAGCTTCTGATAATCATCGATGAGATCGAACATGGTGAGAATTTTCCGGATCCTCGAGCAAAACGAATCGAATCTCCCAAATACCTGCGTCTCGGAGAAGGAGAACTCTTGTTCAGTTATCGCTGGAGAGCAGCGAACAAGTCTGTAAGTCTCTCTGTAGGCTTTATTCAATCTCAGACAATGTTTCAGTCTTGACCTAGCAGTGATCCTCTCCAATTCCCAGATTGTCTCTCTTCCCCTGGTTGTCACGTAATCCCTGCATGCGACGATCATCTGATTGGTTATCTTCACCATCAACGAGGATGTCCTCTCCGAGGTATTGTAGTACCTCGAGACACTGTATATGAGTCTGACAGTCTGAAGAAGTGATACCAAAGAGTCCCTCATTCTCACTGGATCATCGAGATAAAGACAGTGACAGCATTTCTCGAGTGCCTGAATGAATTTGGCATTGTCCTTCGCTTCATTGTAGCAGTACGTCACCTCGTCCTCAGCCTCCACCCACTCCTTGATTAACTTAGACCTTGAAACTTGGAGGCACAGAAGAGACATTTTCACTTCAGTGTCCTGAAGTTTATTCACCAATTGGCTAAACTGTGCTCCTCTGCGTTTCCAATATTCCAATTCCTGCTGTGGGCCTGAGTTATCATTCTCCCGCCTCACCTGTTTAGACTCAAGAATAAAATCCTTCAATTTTTTTATCCAAACTCTAACGCGTTCCTCGATTCTCTCAATTCCCCTGTTGGACACCAGCGCCTTTGCCGTTTCAAAATTGTGCACCTCATCCATCATGGACTCACCGTCGTCGAAGATGTTGCCCTCCTCGAGAACAAGTTCACATACCTTAAGGGCACTGCAGAAAGACCTCAATCCTGGTAGCAGAAGACTCTTTATCATTGGGCAGTCCTCCTCTTCCTCGCTTCCAGGATGCGCCAGTGCGTCCATGAACACGTGCTCCACCACCCGTTGAATCGTCGTGATAATTCCCACCCTGTCGATATTGATTACACCCGTGAAGAGGTCCTTCTGGAAGCCCTCCTCCGGCAGCTGTTTCGATGTATTTATTCTGTTTGAAAATAACAGGTTGAAGATGAGAGAATCATCATTGAATCATTAATGATTACCGAAACATGTAGATGCAGACACCGGTGCATGGTAACTGCCAGCCATCCGTTAAGAAGAGCTTCTTCTTCAGGGGCTCCTTCGTTTCCTTGGATTCCTTGGATTTGCTTGGCGCAGGGTTCCCTGGGGTCGCCCTTGCCCCTCCCTTCATCGTCTGTCCCTTAAAAAATTGTAGTAAATCTGGTTTCAATGGAAACGAGGAATAACGGGGAATCCCATATAATCTAGGATTTTGTGGAAGGGTTACCACGTCATTCGGGCGCTGTTGTTCAGGTTCGTCGGTCACCTGGTAATACCACACGAGAGTTGATCTCATGTGTGGAAGAAAAAGCTGATTTATCTCGTCGAGCATGTCTCCCTCGAACACGTGGTCCATTACCTCATGACGTGGAAGACCTGTTCCATCCATCAGGAGCTGAAAGGCAAACTCCAACCGGGGATCCATCTCCCCACGTCTCGCTTTTCTCTCGCATTCTTCACGGCGTTTCTATTTCAATAAAAATGAATACAGGAATTTTTCAAAATTTATCGATTCATTAGAAATCTATTTCACTCCTCATTTATGCACTCAAATTCCTCTTGCAATTTCATTATTTATAGAACAGAATTTCTTTCTGGTTTCAATAGGATTCTATTTTTAATTTATAAAATTCCTATTTCTATTTTTAATTTATAAAATTTTTATTTATTTAAATTCTGTCGAATTGACGTGGTAGTGGTGGTAGTGGTGGTGATGATAGAAATGGTATTTCAGGATGGTAATGAATTTTGGTATGATAATAGGATTGGAACCTGAACAGCATCATCACTGAGCTCATCATCGTCTTCACTGGCTTCATCAGAACCATCGGACCTTTCACCGGCCTTCACACCCTGTACGAACATGTTACCGTATTCGCGTGTCACTGGGGCTTGAAAATCTAACTGGCACACGGAGGCGCGAGGTTTTCGTGTGAAGGCGATAACCGAGACACCCCCGGGAGTTGGCAAGGAAACACCCTGTGTCTGGTACCAAGTTTCACGCGTTATTCTATTTTATTTTTTCAGGGAGCACCAGTCGATAGTTTTTCGTTTGAAGGGTGACTGGTGATTTCGCTCTGTCTAAGGTGTTGATACTAGGGAAATAATATCTTTGAAGATCAATTATTATTCAGCTGTGGGGATTCGGTGCTGAGGAACGACCCGGTACAATTTTCTGGAGTAATTTCATGGACTTTGCCGTAAGGAATTTTTAATCTGACGGTGTAGTGAAAGTTGCCATTTTTTTCGCATCTAAAGAAATTTATTTATTTCACGAAATTTTCACAGAATATTGGATTCAATGCCATATAACACGAAGAAATTTATATTTTGCAAATAATAAATATTAAAAAGCTACGTTAAATTCATAATAAATACTAATACTAATGCGAATAAATAATATATTTATAATTATTGACTTTTCGTTATCGATCACAAAATTATCACCACCAAAAAATCGAGAAAAATGAGGAATCGCTTATGGGTGTTAAAAATTGATATTTTATAAATAAAATACGAATATATATTCTTCCAGGATATATATAATATATTTTTGATACATTCTTCATAAATTAAAATAATTTACGGAAATATCGCACCGAAAATCTACCGAAATCTCGCCAACACGAGACGTCAATAAATAAATAATGAATCTATTTTGCTAAAAAGAAATTGCATATCGGTTTCGAACGCAAAAATAGTATATCTACAAGAGTAATAGAAGCTAGCATGCGAATCACGAAAGCTCACGCTCACTTTGCTTAATTGGCTTTCAGTCTAATATGTCAGTTGATAGATTCCCTAACAATCCAACAATAATTAGCGAGTTGTAAATCTGACCCGCGATACCCCACGACAATTGATCCAACAAATAAATATTTATTCCAGAACATGTCTTACTCGAGCCTCATCTTCAGCTTCTGTAGTCATCCTCGTATCATCAGTCGTCGTCAATCAGGAATTGTCCGATGAATTTTATTTACGCACTTAAATCCTGGGTATTGCCTAAAAATATTCACGATCCACTCGTTGATGCTTCTAGAGCAGTAATGCGACAATAACTACTGTTCCCCGTATTTCGGGGAATTTCCCTTTACCCTGGCCCCTCTTCATCGTTCAGTTCTTGAATGCACTCAATCTAAAACTTCCAGCCAATGTTAATAAGACCAAAACAATATATTCCGGTGGTTACCAACTTGTCGCGATAGCATCGATCGTCGTTGTACACCAGGACGAGAGGGTACAGTCAACAAACTTGTACCTCCAATCGGCGAAATTTGAGACAAATGGAACGACCGAAATCTCATCCATCATTATCGAATGTTTCGATTTATAGCTGTGGAAAGGGAGTAATGTTTTATAAACAAACAAAGTTTATTTTGACATTTTAAATTTTTTCATATGAAGTGATTGGGACTTTAGAAATTTCAGTTTCTATATTCAGCTGAACTTCTAAATCCGGGCTTGAACTTGGGGCGTTATAATGTCTTAACTTGAAGCTTGATCTTAAATTGGAATTTGAAGGTGTCCTAATAATAGATTTTAAACTCCCCAGGTAAACTGACAGACATCAATTTCAGAATTTTCATTCCGCCAAATTTCTCATAATGTGAGATTGAGAAAAAATCATATCAAGTCGTAAAGTCTTCAGTTTTTAAATTTCTACATTTTGTCTTCCAAAAATGGTAGGTCTAAAAGTTTCTAGATAATTAAAGTTCTCAACAGCTATAGAATTATATGGATCGAAGGAACAGCGACTTCTAGAAGTGGTACCACTCCGTAACAGGTCCGCGAGACAATCTCCGTCTCCGTTGGGGACAAAAAATTAACAGCTAGCATAATAGTTTATCATGTAATTTTATTATTGCAAAAATTCACAAGAGAATATATTTAATAATAAGGATCACTGCAGGTTCATGACGTATTCATTGCATAATATTACCAAAAATATCCAATTTTCCAGATATTTTCATCATATTATAGATTCACTACGATTTCGAAAAATTTCGCCCTCGAAAGTTCAAAATTTTATGAAAAAATTGGCCCTATATAAAAATGTTAATCATTAAAATTCAATTATTTCAGGAAAATTAAGATATTCTCGGGTTTTCAGTTAATTCGTAATTCACTGTAACATCAAATAATCTGAGGACTTTTTCATTGGATTTTCGATAATGCTCAAAATTTAATATCTTTATTCTTTCAAAACCAATTTTTATTACACTCGTTTAAAAATTACTGATCAACTGTCCATGAAAATACAACAGTATAATTATAACAGTGTTCAGAATCAGAATC